AGAGAGAGAGAGAGAGAGAGAGAGAGAGAGAGAGAGAGAGAGAGAGAGCAAATCAATCAAATGAGAAAGTCATATGCGGTTGCAAATATTGGACAACCAATTACACAAAGTAAGGAAGTGATCCCTTTAGACTCTTTGTAAAATGCAAATTAGACAGCTTAGAGTCTGAGCAAGTTTTCCTATAACTGACATATAACTAACGTCTGTCCATATTCTTGTGAGGAGAAAGAGAAAGAGAGAGAGAGAAAGACCAACCTGGTGCACTTTCCTCCTCTTGTTCAGCCTCCTCAGTGGCCAATATCTCATCCAGCTCATTGTCTGAGATCTCGTCATACTCCAAGTTACCTCCTGCAGTGCTTTGCTTGTCCTCGCCTAAAATTAACATCAGTCCTTGATATTAGTTCTTTTACAAAGTTAACACTTAATTTCTTCAAAATTCTAGAACTGGGTTACATGCTCATTATCAAAAATAACATTGTTTCTTGCCACCATGATTATTAATTTTATAGAATGTACCTTCTTGGTTTGCAGAGACATCTGGTGGTAAATCTTTCATGTCACCCTCAGTGCTGCCCCCTGCAGGTGGTGACATGCCATCTTTACTTGCTCTGACTTCAGCTTCCTGTTTGGGTGGAATTTCATCAGGAGGTCTTTCTCTTTCAGGAAATCTAGACGGCTCATTCCTACCCCTATATGAAGAATAATTTCAAATTCCAGAAGGTAATTAAAATAAGAGAGAGAGCTTGGAGAACAGAAATATGTCATGCAAACAAGCAATAAAAATTTCACTAAAAAAAAAAACTTGACAGGTCCAGATACAATTGAAACAAGCTTCACGTTAACACCATGACCATTTCTTCCCCATTAAAAAAAAGAAAAAAAAAAAAAAATCCATGGTGAAAATGTCTTCAGACTTTGGGAAATAACATTTGAGATCATTTATGTAATCTTATAAAATGCTATCAATGAATTAAATAGCATTATTCTGTCAGATATTTTTAAAATCTATGAAAAAAAAAAAAAAAAACTGCGCCTACACTTCCCAATGACAAATTTTCACCTTGCAAAAATTGTTTTTATAAAAAATGTACATGCATACTCACAAAAATGCAACACACAAATACACACACACGCAAACACACCTGTCATAGTCCCTTGGTGGGATGCGTTCTCGGCTACTTGGTCGACTCCTCTGACGATAATCATCCCTGATCTCGCGTACACGATCTCTTCCTTCACGAGAGTCGTCGCGATGACGCCCCCGCCATTCTTCTTGATCTCTGCTACCTGAGTCACGACTGGGGGGTCCCTGTCAACAAAAATAAATAAATAAATATCTTGCTTTGTTAAAATATTACATCACTAAATAAAGAGTAAACATTTTTTGACATTTGACCTCGCAAGACAAGTCAAAATCTTTTAGTACCTGGTTTTCTGCAATTTACTTTTATATAAAACATAAATCACAGCACAGGGAATAAAGATGCGATAATGGATGTTTTGGTAAATAACAGAACTATTTTGGTTTTATGGACTTGGATACAGTCTTTTTGGAAAGATAGAATAGACCCAAATCCTTTCTAGGGAGTCAAAGAATTGACTTCAAGATAATCTCTTGGTTACTTCAATTCTGGGGTTTGATTCAAAAGTGAATCATAATAGGTCCCACAAAAAGGAACATGAACAAAACCTTTGTATAATTTATAAATAATAATTTTCACTTAAGATTCCAACATTACTCTTATAAATCACCAACTCAAAGGCACACTCCGTCCCAAACTGATCAGAGAAAAAAATTCCATACACCCTTTTTTAGGCTGTGAGACTCATGTTGTGGGGTCACATTCATAATGAAGATATGCAAATTTCACTCATGACCATAAAATGAATAATTTAGAATTTCTTAAAAGGTGGTAGCATTTCTCTCAACAGTTTTGGATAGGTCATTTGAATACTGTGACAGAAAAAAAACTGTCCAATCAAACACCTACCCTGCCTTCACCCCTGCTAAGTAGGTCAGAGTGCTGATCATCTTCTGACCAATCACTGAGCACATTCTCTCCCTCTCGTTGACCTCTAGTTGAACCGGTCACGGATCCTTCTGCAAAGAATAAAATTTTTTTTCCTCTTAATCATGACATTTGAATTAAAAAAATTCTTAGTATCTCTACTGAAAAAAATTGAACTGTTATAATAACTATCTGAAAAATATATGTCAAAAAACTGAACCTAAATACGAAAAATAAACAAAAAAGTACAGCTTTTACTTCGTCAATGAATGCAAAACAAAATTATTTTTGCTGAATTAATAGGACAGGAAATCCATTCCCGAGTTGTGTCACCTCATATCTGATTTAAACATACTTTTGCTCTAAAAAAAGGGAGAATTATACAAATTTTTCAAACCACCACCAAAATATAGTTACCTCTCCTATCTGGTGTCCTTGTTAATTTCGGTTTGTCTTCATCCCTGAGAGGTGTGCCGCGACCCGAACCTGGAGGGAAACAAAACAAAATTTATATCTAAAAATCAAAGGCTTTGGAGAGAAATGCTGACAAAAAACAAATGTTCAATGCATCTTCAATGTTCAGTCGTTATGGTCCAATATTGATTAAATCTGGTTGCCCTAACAAATGTCTGCCTTCGACGCAATCTGCAACATAACTTCTACCTTTTTTTATTTAATTACACACATTAAAGTGATGTACACCTTTACATTTCAAGAACTGACCATCCAACCATTCAATGATTCATTTATTACGTTTATTTTAACAAGTCATCTTTAATGTACCACACATGTAAATTGCTTACTACAACAGAATTATTTCCTTGGAAATTCACATATTACACAATACAGTGGTGGACTGAGAAGATCAATGATTGGGAAGGGGGGCATATCTTTTCATTTAATTGTTTTACAGTAAATAATTATTCTTGTTTACTTAAATATTAATTAATAATAAGAATAGATATAATTTTAAATTATTAAAATATATATTATATAACGTAAATGGTTTTAATAAATTTGTTCTATAAATCTGCAGTATCCACAGCACTGTTTGTTTTTGAACATAAGAGGAAAGACTACGGAACCTACCTTCATCTAGGAGTCGTGCCTTCTGGTCCCGTTCTTCTGCTCCACGTGTACTTTCTCGTGACCTTGACCTTGGATCTTCTCTGTATCTTTCATCAATGTACTAATAATAAAATGAAAAAGAAATGCATGAATGGCATAAACAACAGCTCTATTTAAAGGGGGGGGGGGGGAGACAACACCCAGATATTGGGATTTTTGGAGAAATCTAGAAGACTTAGTTTTAATAGCTAGTGACAGGGCTACACTTGATTTACCCAGGGTAAAATAAGATTTCTAATTTCATAATATTGGCCAAAGTTTAGAGTTAGACCACATGTTGGTCATGCACGTAAGTTCTGTTTTCAATTAGCCACCAGTCCTAACCTTTCTGTCCCTGCCCCCCTCATCTTTTAACCGATCCCGATCCCTGTTATCCCGGTCATCCCTATCCCTGTTGTCCCGGTCATCCCGGTCCCTGTTGTCCCGGTCATCACGCTCTCTGTCGTCTCTGCGATAGTCCTCCTTTTGCCTGTCCCGGTCTTCCCTTCCTCGGCTACTTGCACTGAGAGCTGGAGATAACTCTCGCTGCCGTTTGTATGGTGGAGACCTTGACCCTCTGGAAGGGAGCTCTTCTCTGTACCGCTTCCTGGAAATTGAAATTTCACCAATTAAAATAAATTCAAATAAACCCAGTCAATTTAAAATCTAATTAATTTTGTGTTGCAATGAATTAGATGATGAAAAATGTACCTAATAAAAGAAATGAAGATTATCTCTGAACAGAATGCAGTAGTTTACATACCTAGGATTGAAAAGGCCTTGAATAATATTTTGAATGCAATCATTTATGTAAATGAAAAAATGGCACAAGAAGAATGTTATACTTCAACTGTGTATTATAAAAACTATCAAATGCAAAAAATAATAATAATAATAATAATTTTTGTGCACAGCAACAGACGCCTAGTTGCGCAGAGGAATAGGAACATCACTAGTTGTGCAGAAAAGTAATTTCTTCTTTGATATCACCTGTTATACTCCTCCCTTGCTCTGTCATCATAAGGATGCCTCTCTCTACTGCCATCTGGTGGTGGACCCCTTTCATCTGACCTGGGTGGACCCCTCTCATCCATTCTATAGGGACCTCTTTCATCCTGTCTCTGTAAACCCCGGTCATCTCTCGGTGGACCCCTTTCTTCTGGTCTCAGAGGCCCCCTATCATCTGGCCTAGGAGGAACTGGCTGGCCCCTTTCATCTGGTCTTGGAGGCCCCCTATCGTCTGGCCTCATGGGATATCTGTCATCACCATGGCGACCATCCCAGTCCCCCCTGCGTGACCTCATGTCTGGGGGTGGTCCTCTGGGGTCACGATAGCCACGGTCATCTATTACAGGAAATATGGTGAGAAAAACATGAGTCCATGCCTCACTTTGAACATTACATAATAAAACAACAGTGAACAAACATGACTGTTTCATATTTTTTAAAGAATTAAGGACTAATATATGGTCTTAATGCCAAGGCTTATTTAAAAAACAACATTAACTTTATCCAAGGTAAATCAGAAATGTTCCTTTGAACATTGAGTTTGTTTTAAACCAGCAGATACTAAATTTTTTGTTAACCTGAATTAAGTAGACCAACATCTTCATTCTTGAAATAATTTTTTTTTAATTATCCAAGATTTTTTATACACACCATATCTCTCTCCAGAATATCCTCTTCCCCTTCCACCTAAATTATAAATAAGTAAATAAAATAAAAATAAATAAATCATTTTTGATATGCCTCAAGGACAAAATATCATACTCATTTTATCAGACATTTTAATATGAAAACTTTGTAATAGTGTCAGCAAGTTTTAGCTGGTTCTTCAAGAGACCAGGGTCTAAGCACCAACTGGACTGAAGTAAAAAACAGTGGGCAGGAACAGAAGAAATAAACTGGCAGTTATAATAATAATGCTACTAGTAATCAGTGCTAAGGACATAAAACATATTTTAAAACTTTAAAAAAATTAAAGTAAATTCATACCACCTCTTCCTCTGGACCCTCCCCTGCCACGCCCTCTGTCCTGGTAGAAGTCACGACCCCGATCATCTCTCCTATCTCCATACTTCTCCCTCTCGTATCTCTCCCTCTCATCTCTGTAATCTCGCCTATCTGGAGGGCGATCGTATCTCTCCTCTGCTCCCTCTCTCCTGTCTGGGTAACGTTCATACCTGTCCCTTTTATCGTACCTCTCAGCCGAGCGAGGCGGCGAGCGACCACGCAGGTCCTCTTGCCTGTACTTATCCCGCCCCCGCTCATCGTACATTTCCCTTGGAGGACGATTGTCTCTTTCGCCACTCATCTCGGCCTCTCTTGACCGGGGCTGATCTGGAGTGCCCCCTGGTGGAACTTCCTGTTGGACAGGGAGCATTCTGTCTTTCTCACGCTCTCTATCATAGTCCTGTCCCTCTGCTATGGAAGGGGGACGCCGGGGAGACTTTGGACTTTTCCTGTCCCTGTACTTATCCTCAGCTGGAGACATGTACCTCCGGCTTGCAGGGGAGCGAGAGGGCAAACTGTCTTCAGGGGACTGGGCCCTCTTGCTGGACTTGCTGTCTCTGGGAGATGAGCCTCTCTGACGTAGGTCCTCATCTCTCCTGCTGCTGCCCCGCTGCTCTGGGGTGGCCTCCCGCCTGGTATCTCTTCTGTAACGATCATCGTCTCGCCTGTTGTAGTCCTCGTCTCGTCTTCTGTTTCTGTCATCATCACCCCTCCGACTGTCGTAACCACTGGGTGACCGCCCTCTCCTCTCCTCACCACGACCTCTTGACCTCTCTTCCTCAGGCGAGCGATCTCGGCGACTCCTTGGCGAAGAGGGTCTTTTTTCTCGATAACGCTCATCAGGAGACGGTGATCTCCTTCTCCTGCTTTCCTCAGGAGACCTCCTATCCCTCTTATCCTTATAATCATCTATGGCCTCTGGTGACCTTGACCGTGACCTACGACCTCTTCTATCTCTGTCATCATAGTCTTTTTTGGATGACAACCTAATGTATTCTTCAGGTGACCTTTTTCGTGACCTCTCATATTCTGGGCTATCATAGCGCTTTGATTTTGATTTACTGTAGCTTTCCTCCCTCGGGGATAGTGAGCGTTTGGACTTTTTATTTCTATCATCATCACTGTCATCCCCCCTTTTGTAGTCCTCCGGAGAGAGTGACCGCTTGGACTTTGATTTGGACTTGACTTTCTCTACACTTGGAGATCTAAAAATAGAGCAGATACATAAAATTAAGAAATGGGATGGTAATTTTGCCAAGTCTTCCGCCTTCCCCTTTACCCAACAAAAAAAAAACATGAAAAAAGTTTAATTTTTCTGAATTTTGCAATTATACACCTTAGTTCAAAGTTTCTCTTGAAGGCCAACTACCTGTCCATATACAATATCAATACTTTTATCTTTAAGATGGAGCTACATTCTCTGTCTATTTATGAAATCAACACATTTAACTAGAGGAGCTCTTTTCTCCTCTTTATATGATATCAATACATGTACCTAGAGGGCGACACCTTATGGTCTATATATGATATCCACACATTTACCTAGAGGGAGCCACTTTCTTCTCTTTTTTATGCTTGTGTGTTTTCTCTGGTGACGTCCAAGGTTCAACCTCCTCTCTTTCTTTGGCTGCTTTGTGCTTCTTCTTGTGTTTTTCTTTCACCACCACTGCTTCCTTGTCGCCCTCTTCAAGGGATTTCAACCTAAATTTAAGAAAAAAATTTCATTCTCTTCCAGGGATTTCAATCTGAATAATTCAACTCAATTGTACTGTTTTCATCAAACAGTATATTAGTCTTTAAAAAGTTTTAATAGACAAGTGACGATTGCTTTCTTGGACTTCCTTTGGATTTATGAGACTGTTCACAAAAAAAAAAAAAATAAATAAATAAAATAATAATAATAATAATAAACAAATAAAAATAAATAAATAAAAACATGGATATTTGTTCAAATAAAAAAAAAAACTACATAACTTATTTATGAACTGAAAAAAACCTCTTTGCTTAATATAAATAAAAAAACTTTCAAAAGAATGCCAGGAAAAGACATTAAATATTTATTATTTCATATTGAACTATTCTACATAAAAAAGAACTCCTCACTTCATAATGAATTAATTATAGTTAAAAATAATGAGAGACCTTTTCTTTTCCTTCTTCGACTCCTTCACAACATCAGGGCTTGGGGTACGGGGCCCTCCTTTAGCAGCAGCAGGGGGTGTCTTCAGCCCTTTCTCCTTCTTCTTATGTTTTTTGGTTGGGGGACTTCTGATGAAGAAAATTAGAAGCAGACTTAATTATTGACAAAAATCAAAATAAACAAATAAATGAAATGTTTTTTTCTAAGACTGGGTTCCCATAAACTTATCATACTAGCAGGATCAAACTAACTCTGAGGGGATTCTTGCTAAATTGCATTTGGTTTAAGTGGCTAAAATGCCTGTTATGTCCACTGAAGCTGCTAGGGGGTAATTAACTTTCATGCACGCTTAAACTAAATGCAATTTAGTGAGAAACCCCTAGGAGATAGATCGATCCTGCTAGTACAATAAGGTATGGGAATGGTCCCTATGGACCATGTTTAGTCTCTTTAGAAATGGTCTTCATTTTTTATTTCAGATATGAATCTTTGTGTACAACTAAAATTCACAAATCTCGAAAATGTTTAATGTCAGAACAAGTCTTGTGTGTGAATATTCTGAACAATTACTATATCAAGATAACACACACACACGCATGCACGCACGCACGCACACACACAAAAACAGGTATTATAATACTCACTGTAACTGAGGGTTCAAATCAGGAGACTTCATGATTTTTTCTTTGTCTTTGTCTTTCTTTTTCTTGTGTTTTTTGTGAGGCACTTCTATTTCTGATTCCTCTGAAGTAATCTGATATTTGAAATTTATTATAAGACACTTCATTACATGACGTCAACAGTGGTATCTGCATATTCCCGCTTGAATGCAAGGGAACAATTATACAACTAGCTTAAATTCAAAGTGATGACTGATTTTCATTTTATCATATGTTTCAACTGGCTTATCTTACAGAAAAGAAGAAAAATCAAAAAGTGATGGTCAAACAAAGCACGGGATATAATAAAGCATAACTGTCGTAAATAGCAAAGAGACATGAAGTCATATGATATGTATAATAAGCAAAGTTATCAAAATGTCAAATTTAAATTAATGACCCCAGTGGTTCTATTAGTATTCTAACTTTGCAGAAGGGGGGTAACTTTGAATCCAAAATTAGAACTATAAAAAAAATGGAAGATGTTTCTAATTTGACTAGTGTAAATGTGCTAGAAAATGGAGGCCAGCTATTAGCAAGTGTATCTACATTTATACATGTTTGTAAGAAAACCCCATTGCATACCCCCATGTTGATATGTAAAGCCTCGGTCACAACCGGACGCACGAATTTCAGGATCGTACGTCCCCTGCGATTTTTGCGCGTTGCGGAGGCCGTGGAGGTCGTAGAGGTAGAGGAAAGGGCCACATGAGATTTCCTTTCAAGCAGGGAAGCTAATTGCAGGGAGCGATGGCCGTGCAAAGTGTACTCATTTCTTGAGTTTGTCTTGCGTGGGACGTGAGATTCTGCGCAAAATTTGGACGCAAACAGCCCGTAAGAGCCTGCACGGCCGGTTGTGACAGAGGTTTAAGAGAACCCCACACTGAGCCCCATGTCAATATGAAGGAGACCCATAAAAGAAAAAGAACCCCACACTAAACCCCATGCTGATATATTAGAGACCCCCATATTTAAGTTAAAACCCCATGCTGATATATAAGAGAACCCCATATTAAAGTTAAAACCCCATGCTGATATGTAAGCGAACCCCATGCTAAACCCCATGCTGATATGTAAGAGAACCCCTACTAAAGTTAAAACGACCATGCTGATATGTAAGAGAACCCCATACTAAACCCCATGCTGATATGTAAGAGAACCCCATACTAAACCCCATGCTGATATGTAAGAGAACCCCATACTAAACCCCATGCTGATATTTAAGAGAACCCCATATTAAACCCCATGATGATATGTAAGATAACTCCTCACTAAACACCATGTTCTTATGTTAGTCATTCTCCTGTCTAATTTCATGCAGTCAGAATCCACCATATTGTTGGTCTTGAGAACCCTGCATGGACCCCATGCAATTAAAGTTGAGACCCCCTCAGCAAACACATGCAAATGGTGCACTACCTGCTTTTCAATAACCACCTTCTCGAACTCGCTGTCTCCACCCTCCGTCTCCTGGAGTTGTCGTAAAAGTGCTTGCCGCTCACGCATCAGCGCCAGTTCCTCTGCAAAGTCTAATCCAGATGCTTCTAGAGTGACATTATTCAGGGATTACATTGATCAATCAATCTTAAATTTGGGATATTATGTGAAGATGTGCAATGTCCACAAACCAAACCAAACCAAATCAGAATTCTAAGTACACGTATAAATGAGAGCATGAGTTGTGACATATTTTTTTTCTTAAATTTTATTTTTTTCTCAGCCATGTCTTCAGCTGTCAAACCCACTGCTATCCTAAGACTACTTAATGGCTTACGTTCTTTTTAGAAGAAAGAATGATATAATATATCACATAATCAAATTCAATAATTGTTGCACATCTAAGATAAAGGCATACCATCAAAGTGTAATAATTTAAAGGAAAAAATATTTCAAACTTGTCATGTAACAGCTGCTACCAAATGTAATATAATTAATCAATTTATACAGAAATGGAAAAAGCTGGGATAAAGATCTGATACCAAAAGTCAGACTAACAAGGTAAATGGGGCTTTCCCTCTGCCTAAAAAGACATTAAAATATACTAATTAGAAAGTGCTTTATTTCTTTCCGACAAACAATTACAATCACTTTTATCAACTCACCATCAGGCACTTCAGTTTCACTTTCACTTTCCCCCTTTCTATCACCTTTTGACACCACAACAGTGGACTTCATTTTACTTTCTTTATCTTTCTTTTTGCTTCTCTGAAAATTAAGAAAAAGTGTACTGATCACTTTTAATAATTATTATATAATATATTATAAGTTTCTCATTCAGTCAAAATACATGGCCATTTAATGGAAACATTTGCATTTAAAGAGACAATCCTCATTGTTGCCTTAAATAATATTCAATTTCAATTTCAATTTATTTCTGTACTGGTACATAGATTGTCATGACCTTGTACAATATGATATACTAATGACGATACAATACAGTTAGTGCATTACCATTTCTCTAGTTGGTATTATGTTGCCTAACCATTTGTGAAGGAAAAAATAATCTTTATATAATGAACATACGTACTAGTAAAATTACTCATAAAATATTCTATCTAAGCAATGATATAAACCTTGGTGTGATTATAAATTTACCATAAACATACTATAAACATGTTACATGCAGAATGTAAATACCTGTGGTGAAGAGGATGTGGGGCTTGCACTTTTGTCTCTCTTGCTTTTCATCTTCAACCTCAGATCATCAGAATCTTCAAAGCTGAAAGGATAACACTTTTGGTTAGTTTACCAGCCATTTTATTGAATAAAAAATAAAAATAAAAATAAAAAACAGATGGGTTGCACCTTTGACATTTTAAAAGGAAATTCAAATATCAAGCATGAATAAAGCAACTTTTTTTTTTCTAAAGTCCCATGAATTTCTTTTCTTTTCTTGAACAGTGCTATTAAACAAAGCATGCTCAGTGGGGGATCCAGGATATTGATGCGGGAATGAGAAAGGGGGGCAGCTATGCAAACACAATATAAAATAGTCAATGAGGACTATTTTCCTATGTAGCAAACATGGATCCAAAATGGTCCTTTCTCATTCATTTGGTGTTTACAATTTTTTTGGAGGAGATGGGTTATTTCAGAAACTAAGAGATGGACACATGCATATTGAGGCTTAATAAATGGATTAGGCATTTACTAACACTACCCTCAGATCTTTTAGCACTAACACCCATATTAACCACACAACTCAAATTAACAAGCACTACAACAGCAGATGAATGTTTGTGCTAGGTATGACTTTGTTAGTGCTAAATAATTTTACAGTGTGTTGGTTAATCCGTTGGTTTTGTGGTTAATATGGGTGTTGGTGCTAAAATATCTGCCAGTAGTGTTAGTAAATGCCTGGTCCGTTTATAAAGCCTACTACTTTGTCCTTCACCCTCTCCCTTCAGCCACTGATGCTGTGCTCATCTAACTGAATTTAGAGTTGTTCTGAAAATAAGCTCACACTCACCCTTTATTTTTACCTTGATAACCTGGATGACGAAATCTACACTTGTTTCCGTATGGACACTCACCAGTCTCTACCCAATTACGGCAAGTGCGTACAGTCTGAAATGAAACAGCATCCAATGCACATTTCAACTATTTCTAGTGACTTGAGAAATCTACTGCCACGACCTCAGATCAGCACAGTAATCAGAACACCGTGAGAAAATTGGAATGTAATTTAAAGGTACATTGCATGCATTGAAAAATTTCCAAAAGTCATATTTTGTATGTCTACATACCCTGCAATGCTGCTACTTGTAAATTAACTCTTTCCCACATTGATAGCTTAACTACTGCTAATTACTAAATAAAAGTATCTGACAACAATTGTTTTTTTTTTTTTTTTTTTTAATCTGAAAGGTACAGGAAGACAATGTTCTAAATCACAGGCCAGTCATTTAGCACTAAATCACTGAACACATTCAGAACAGCGGACTAACAGATCTGCAGATCAAATTTGACTGACCCATTTACATGCTTGTTGCCTAATCTCTGCTGGAAATCTATTCTGTGTCAAATTAAGCCTCGTAGTGGGTCGTCACATTTGATCCGCGAAGTGTTAATCCGTTGTTCTGAATGTGTTCATTAAAAATAAAAAATACAAATGGAATAAAACATGAAATTCAAGTGTGGAAATTCAAGTTGACAGGGCAACTTAGAAGTTTCACTCTCAGAATAGTAATAAATACAGACTACCATACCTCAGTATTGTCAAAGCTTCTGCCTAGGCGCTCAAATACACTGGGTTTCTTTTTATCGTCATTCACAGCTTTTGAGCCTTCTACAGTCACCCTTCTCTTACTCATACTGGGCACTTGGCATTGCTATATGGAAATAACAACATCAAATTGTGTGAAAGTAAACAAGCGATCTTTAACAATAACTAAGTTTTGACATAAACAGTTTCTTTGGACATATAACTATTTGTAATTTAAAACGAAAACAAAATAATTCGATTACATTACAGCCCATGCTTCAAAGTGCAAAACCGCAATAAAATCTCTAACGTTATATATTTATTTTTATCTCATTCAAGTATTGAAAAATACTTGAATTTAATCCATTCTTTTTATAAACACAATTCATCACTAAATTTCTCACCTTCACATCACGCTTTTTTTCCAGGTTACATTGTACGCATGCGCCTGCAGGATATGGTGACTAATGCTCACCGATGCTATCCGGCCAAGACAAGACAAAGAAGATTCCATTTTTTCCCAGTCCCGTTTTCCTAACCTTTTTTGAAAACCATCTGATTTTTCTTTCAATAACAATAATATTTATTCATTTATCATGTATAGCATTTCATTATTATATACATTCCAGTGCACTTTATAGGCTTATATCATAACTAAAATTAAACGAACTAATAATAAGTTTAATGACTTAAATTACTTTCAAAACGATGAGTTTTTAGATAGACCTCAAGTACAACATTTATCCTTTCATTTCTAAAAATATAACTATAACAAATGATGCTACAACAAATAACAGGTAAATATATATATATATATATTTACTCATTAAATATATATGGTAAATCCAATAGGCCTACATAGGCCTACAGTGGCGGATTTTGGATGTCCTGACCCCCCCTTCGATATCTGGTCACCTCTTGAAATTAGAATTTTGACTAGCTGAATCACAGTTCTAAACCGCACCAAATGGCACCGTGCGCCCTTAAAAGTACCAAAAAATTTGGGAGCCCTTAAGCGGACCCCGAACCCCACGCCAAGTGCAGGCGGGGGGGGGGGGGGTCGCCTTCACATCCGCGGACACCCCTTTAAATAATCCTGGATCCTCCCCCGGGTCTATCCACAACATAAGCACTTGGTTTAGGACCCTCCGAACCCGTAAACCAACTGATTGACCCAGGTCAACAGGTCGTAAATGTATTTTACTGTAGTAAACAGATATGCCTACAAAGGTCAATAAAGGGGGTCACATATCGGACATGCAGTGTCAACCGATATTATGTGTTTAACTGAAAATATTTTCCTGTCATAACACCCCGATATAAGTGTAATAATAATAAGAAAAATATAGATAAATAAATCAATTACTCCACAGATAAATTAATATGACCCATGTGCTTAGTGTTCACAGATAATTTAGGATGTGAGGACATGATCGGCCTTTATCATATGCACAATAATCTTAACAGTGTTAACACAACAGCAAGTTACAGATTTTTAGAGATCTTTCTAGGGAATTTTCTCAGTGTATCCGATATTTCTGGATATCTTTCTGCTGAGCTCAGTTGGACTTACATGTAGGCCTACATGTATGTGTGTTTTTTTTCTTTGCCATATATATTTAATGAGTTATACATTATAGGCCTACTTTCTTTTCTTAAAATCGTAGTGTTTGTGTAAATTTTAGACTAAGAACATGTGGAAGCCGAGGTTTAGAGACACCCCCTCCTCACCCCTTCCCCACCTCAACCCTAATCACACAAACACTTTTCTCAACCTCGTCCGTTCGATTGTTTCGGTCCCTCCCCCCACTCCGGCGTCTCGCTTCATTTAAAATTTGCTCCCTGCCCCTTCTTCAGCACTAACCACAGAACCGTATACTGTTTGATGAAAGTTTTTTATGTGTGGGTAGACAGAAGATTGAGGGGTCGAGATATAACCCAGTCCTGCTCTTTATCAAAAACGAAATTCCAAAGAACGAAGAAGCATAAGTTAAGTTAATTACAGCAAACAAAAATGTTCAAAATCACCCCTTTATTCGGATTTCCCTTAACATAGGTGGGATAGTCTCTCTCTCTCTCTCTCTCTCTCATTCTCTTTTCCTCTTCTCTCTCTCTCTCTCTCATTCTCTCTCTCTCTCTCTCTCTCTCTCATTCTCTCTCTCTCTCTCTCTCTCTCCTTTACATCCCGATTTGCCATTTCCATCTATTTATCCAAGCATGTTTTTTTCTTATTCAGACCTAAATTCCTCCTCAGCTGTTACCCCACCAGGTAGAATAATTAACGGACTAATTGATTTTGTGATATGAATTTCTATTTTGGTTGCCCTGAGGGCCAAAAACAAACGGCGACTAGAGTTGACACCGAAATTATTTTTTTCGGTGACTAACCTTGACTGTAGGCTAAAATTTTTCACGCGTAAAAACAGGATCAAGCGAGGGAAAGAAGACAGGTTCGGGGGGGGGGGGGGGGGGGGGGGCAAAAAAATAAATAACCTGCCTATAAACTTAAGACAACACAATACAAAATATTCATATTTCTATTCATAGTACTCAGTTAATTAAATGCTTACCTGTTCAATTGCTTCTTGGACTTCAGGTGGGAAAGAAAGGACTGAATGCAAGTGCTCGTCATCCAAGATATCCTCCTCCTCCAGGGCAGCCATACTTCAAGGATTGATTCGGAGCGCAATAATTTTTAAAAAATGTCATTAAAACTCTAGCAAAGCTAAGTAACCAATCTGTTGCAAGAATACACAGTTAGCTGTTTTTCTTATTGACAATAAGAAATAATGTCGTAATAAAAATGTAATTCAAAAAGATATTCTTAACAACCTCTGAGAACTACTTTATTTTTATGGGCGAAAGCACTTCCTGTATATATACAATGCGCTTAGGTCGCACGTGTACGTTGTTGATGTTTGAGATGGATATTTAATTTCAAACCTTAAAGAGAAGAAACCAATCTGGTTTTAGCAAAGATAACCTAGCAGGAATTACAACTATGGGTCGGCTTAGGAAAAAGCACAACTGGAAAGCTAGACAGCAAAGTGAAGTCGTTGTCGACCATACGGAAGAACAGAAGGTAGAGCAAATTGGGGAACATTCAAGTTTGGATTTTTTGGTCAAATTTCATTGTAACTGTTGAACAGAATTTACTTTTGATATTACCGTTTAGTAAATGCCAGGTTCATTTTGACCACTATCTTTCCACATACGATATCAAAACAACAGAAAGGGTAAAACGATAGAAAGGTTGAGGTTTGTACTGTTCTTCAATCAACAACCATAAATTAAATATATATAAGTACTCCAGTTTACTCCGGTCACGATCAGGCAATCCATTCAAGTAAGTCCACTAATGGCAGTCTCCAGTGGGTGTATGATTTCACTGAAGCATAATGTGTGCTTGATCAATTCTTGAATATCATATATTTAAGGTGCAGCTTCAAGTAGATCTTGAAGATGTGAGGTCTGAAGGATATGATGAGAGCAACCCATTGACTCTGCCATCAAAGAAACGTACAACAAAGAAAGTGCAACAGAAAGATACCACAATTAGGAAGCTGAGCAAAAAGCAGAGAAAGCACCTGGAGAAAATTGTACAGTTAAAAGAAAAGAAAGCCAAGGTGATTTCTTCAGTTTTGATGTTTCTTGTGTGATTTGACATTTAACTTAAAAAGTATCGAGTATTTTCTTACTGAAGGCTCATTGTAGTGAAATGATGATGCTTCTGTCTTTATATGTTTTTGAAGTCATTAGATCTTAAATAATGTGTAATTGACAATCAGAAGCTTTATTCAATATTGAAAGCTGTGTACTACATTGGTGTTGCTTAACATTTTCAGAGGGCAGATCTGCTTGCATCTTTGTCTGAAGTTCAAGCTTCTCAAGAAGAAATGTCTTTACTTACTTCACTAGCAGAAGCTCAAACTAAAAGACCAAAAAGGTAATATAATNTGTGCATATTGCTGTAGAAAGTATGGTCCAAAAATACTTGATATTGTCTAGTTCATGTTTCGCTTGCATTGCATTTTTTTTTGAGGGGGGGAGGGGGGAAGGGTGCGAGAGAAATGGTTATATCCGAAAATAAGGGGATATGTGACCCCCACACACACACACACACGCGCGCGCACTCACAAACACGCACTCACAAACACGCACTCACACTCATACATGTACACCAGCCCTTAGGATCTGCCAAGTTTTTCCTCATTCTCCTGAGTAAAGGTTATACTCTTTTATTCGGTGTTTGAAGAACTTATACAACAACAAAACCATAAATTTCAGCAGTTCCCTGTTGTCAACAAGGGTAGCACTTACCGAAACTGATCATGACTATAACTACCGACACTGTAAATTATTACCTTTTTATTCATTTGTGATGCTTAATTTGTTATTTTACAATCACTAGTCGACTAGCCGCCATACTGGACTAGTGTGAACGGGGTATACGACCTCTTAAACCGGTTCATGTAGCATAATGTTGTGGACGGTTTAAGTAATAGTTACCATGGTCATGCAACAAGGGAGTTGTAATATGCCCGGGAAATCTTGCAAAAAGGAATGTAAAGTTCAATTTGGAAAAAAAAGCGTAAAGCGTTTGGATGCTACGTTTTCACTATAAAAGAATTTAGTCCAAAAAGACTGATAGTCCCCAAAATTTTCTGAAAGAACGTGAAATATGCAAATATTCCTTGCAGGCGTGTGTTAGATTTATGGTAAATAAAATGTCTAACGGTGTAAAACGTATGACTGGACAGATATTGCCTTGGGATAAATAACATGATGGAATAAAGGTAAAAGGGTTTGTGCTGACCTCACTTTTCAACGCACCTTCTTTGCAGCCCGAAGGAGAAAATTTGCATTAATTTACAATTTTGACGCCGTTGGGGACAAAGAGACGCCCTTTTCCAATGCAATTCTTAAATGTATGCATTTTTGTAGCTTCAAGATTTGAATACTCAGAGCCTTTCGGACATAAGACAAGATTTTTCCACGAAAGCGAAATTTTTGTAAATTATCCCATTTACCACCTAGAATGGCAATACGTAAATAAAAAAAAAAAAAATAAAAATTATGCACGTTTTTTTTTTTTTTTTTTTTTGTCGCCAGGCAATTTGAAGGACACCATGTCATGACGGACTTTGAGGTAGTTTAAATTAGCTTCAAACTGACAAGCTTTGAATTGAAGATGACTTCAAGGATGGCTTTAAGGGGACCGCGGTTTTTACGGACCGGCACAGGTATAAAACTGTTCCAGTCCCGCCCAAGCGTGTTCATACCTCAGACTAAGGCGGTTAACGCGGACAACTGCAGCAGCGCACTCTGACTAGAAGTCAAAGGTGTGTAGAGATTTATCCTACCGTAACATCTTTTAGGATTATTTTTCTCGTTTGTTTCTGAATAATCCATTATTCAAAATGATACACCGTATAATACATGTATCGTTACAATACGTCTTTGAAAAGACAGTCTATAATTGCTATAAAATGTATTGGGTTATAAAATAAGAATCAACTGGCTTTATATTTATGATTTTATCGAACGGTTTTTATCAATGATAAGTAAATACAGGTATAAGCACATATGCATTTGAATCACTATTCCAGCCTTCATGCTACCAGCCATGGATCCGAAAATGCTACCGCAAGTGGTCACTTCTTCGCCAACTCCTGTGAATACGGTCAGTTCAAAAATGTACTTGTTTATGATTCTAATATATGCATACGGCCTTAAACTTTAGACGTCCGTACAAGCCAATTGTCTAGTAAATGTGGCGTCCGGCATGTTAAATATTAAAATAAATGTATATAAATAAGAAACAAATACAAATAACCTTTTTTAAAATGTCTAGTTTTTTGAGTCACTCACCTAATGGAGAGACAGACTGTAAATAGCAAAAAATAAGGCATTTAAAACTCGGCTACGGCCTCTTAAAGGTGAATTTTCTCAGTTGTTTTGTATGCTGTAGACCCATAAACCTTGGTGATAAAGAATTTGCTTAAATTTCATCTTCGATATTTTTTGGTTCAACGGGCGTTGTGTTACATTAGAGTTATCTGTAGCTTTCACATCTTCGCTAGTTTATTTTGATTTGAACCAATTTTTAAATTTTTTAAAATTAAAATTTGTACTACCCGAGTGATGAGTGACTTGAGAGGACCAGTGAACAGATTAGTGGAGTTATTTTTTATACCAAAATACGATAGAAAAAACGCTGTAAAATTTTTAATACATCATTCAGTCCACAAATAAGGAACGTGAAAAAAGGAAATTGTGAAATATTAAAAGCAACTTTATTGAATACTCATTATGTAAATGAAAACTATTATTAATTTTGTCCAAGTTGTCTGAGAGAAGATAAAAATATTCATCTGTCTTTCAGATTGTCGCCTGTCTCTTCACAGCGAAAAAATACCCACAATGAATAAAATGATAGATCGATAGAATGATAGATGGATAATAGAGAGACAAACGTTCACATAAAGCGAAGTATATAAATGACTAAATTCGTAATTATATGAACGAATAAACAAGTAAACCAGGGCATTTGAACTGATGAATCCAAATGATTGTTTAGAATTCGACTCACGATAAGCTGAAGATTTATAAAATGTTTTAAATATGTTTTCAGGCGCCGAAGCCCAACTCGCGCAAGTACATGATAGTGGCAGTGGCCGTGTTGCTTGTTGTTGTTTGCACCATTGCTGGGGTCCTGCTAGCGGTCCACATTGTCCAGAAGGCTCACGAGGAAACAATGAAGGTTATAACCTGTTTTGATAGAATAACTTTTGATCTAAGTTCGTTTATGTCAAGTATTATTTTTTTGGCAAGCAGGTCCATATTCAAGTTTTTTCTCATCTTACTCTTGTGTCATTTTGCAGACAGAGGCCATTCTGCCCATCTTATCTTAGGGCTCATTTCCATTGAAGCTGTCGGTCTCCGTAATTCGATCCAACTCCGCTGAATGCAATCATTTTAATAGATTTACGTATCTCTTGTTTCCAACGTACTCGAATAATCACCAGCTTTTCTGCACTAGTATTATACTCAACGCCAAAGGGAGGCGTGTTAATCTGTGAAACTGATTGCATTCAGCGAGAGTCCCCGCTGCTAAGAATCGATCTACGTAGACCAACAGTTGCAATAGGAATGACCCCATATATATATATATATATATTGCTTGTTATATAATTGAGCCTTATTTATATTTAAGTTTTTCAAGATTTCTTTGATTTGCCAATATGTTATCAGGGACTAGATTTATAATGTTAATTGCCTCCTTTACTTTTCTGTTGTACATTTGCATGTTCATTACTTGATAACCACCTGAAGCCATTCATGATGTGAAGAACCTCAGAAGTTAAAATGCACGTGATCTTTTAAGAAACGATTTTAAACTACAACTATAAAAGAGACAAGCGATAATTATAAAAGAGACAAAACCCTGTTTTTACCGAATAACCATTTTGTGCTTTCCGTTGCAGGAATATTTCGTTCACTTTCACAACGCCGAGGGTAAAGAAATTGGGGAAAAAATCCAGGTAGATGCAAGCAAAAACATAGTCATCTACGGGAGTCCATCTGACCCGTTACAGACGGCGCACGATGTAGCACACGTATGTATACGTTTATGTACATGCATATGTGCAGTGTATATGCTGATAATTAACCTTCACAAAATTTCAGAGTGTAATTTTTTTTAATAAGTGTGTTTTTCATTCATATTCGATTTTACATATTTTGATGCGTTCCGTTTTATTTTAATAAATTATAATAAATTATATTTTAAAAAAGGTCGGGACTCACGCCATCTACCCTACTTGAATGTATGATATGAGAATCAATTTTTATTTTATACTGGATTGAAATTTAAACTAAAATTGGACGAATCCAATTTTTTCAGGGTCTGATTGCTTACAAAACCCTAGGTAGTCAGCCGTTGTGCCTGATACGACCCACAACCACCCCAGAAGTCGATGCTCAGGAAGTTCAACGCATTCTGGCCAAGGTAATAATAATAATAATAATAATAATAATAATAATAATAATAGTGTATTCACCTACTGCTTATATATTATAAAGTACACATAAAACGAAAGTTGTTTTACCATCTCGTGTTTAATAAAGATCAAATAAGTAAAATAAAGGCAATAAAAATAGAAAACGAAACGTTCAAAGTAATTGTAAAAAAAAAGTAATTGGTAAAATTTTTATGTTCTGCTATTAAAAAAGAGATATCTGGGTTGGTTGAAAAAAAAAGCTTGGTGAAAACAGTCTGCTACTTTTAAAACAATTAAGTTTATATTTGCTTAAGGGAATTTTTAAAAGTTCAGGGTGGGTAGAATTGTTCGTAATCTTTTCGGTTTTGGAAGCCACCCTTTCAATATAAGAAAGACGACTGTTTTATATACGCTCTAAAAGACTGTATTTGGTCTTCTTCAGTTCAAGATTAATCCATAGTAATCCACTTATACAAAGTAAGAACTGGTATGACACATCAGCCAGGTTTTTCTCATTACTAAAGCGATATATTTCATGTAATTGGACTACTACTACTAATTTATCTCGGGTGATATTGGTCTTAAATTGTGGTCTAAACTTTCCCATGGCTACACATATCTAAAGCCTGATTTTGAGGATGTTCACGCATTTTACTTAAATTTGGTACTTTTTGTGACGCGTCAGAAATTGTGCGTCCATTCCGCAACTGTATCTACAATATTGATTTTTATTTATTTATTTATTTATTTATTTATTTATTTATTTATTTATAGAATCACGGTATGGATGATTTCCCAAAGCGCTCCATAGCCACCAATTTAACACTTTCTCCTCAACCAATCAGAGAGACATCTTTTCTCAGTGCGGAACTGCAAAGCTTCTGTAAGGATGTCGCCGTTCATTGGGTCATGCACGCAGATGAAAAAGAGGCAGTACCGGAAAAACCTAATGCAGGTAATTTGAAATGCCACGTGCTAAAATATGTTTATATGAATATGAATCCCTGCAGTGCTAATTTTCTAGATATTAGGGTGTTTGATGAAATAAGTCAATGTGTGAAACTGGAGTAGGCCTATGTCATACTGTAAGTGACGTAGAATGGATATACATATATCTTAATTATTATTTATCGTTTTACAGGAAACAGGCGCGAGAAAAGACAAAGTGGATTAATAGCTAACCCCCAATTTTCCCCATTCGTATATTTTGGGAACCGGATCTACATCTGTTGTACGACCCTAACTCAATCAGTATTTGGACGTGAATCCTCCGTCTCCAGGCCAGTCGCTATTATCGGTAACTGTAGATTCTGCGAGGACCCTTTTCCATTGCTAGGATAGAAAAATGCGTTACAGTTGCGGGGGGGGGGGGAGGTTCGAAAGAACCGCCCTTTTTGTCAGGAAAAGGTCCATTCTGGATAAAATTTGATCTAGGTGCACAAAGGTTCCATTGTAAAAGGTCCACTTTTTCAGAAAAGAATCCCCCTTTTGACATTGCTGGCTACAGGCCTGAGCTGACTCTGAATAAGGATGAGATTTTAGTTGTATTGAGTTCGTGGAATATACCTGGAATATATCGTGGAAAATGTTGAGGCAGATGTGTTCATGGGATGCTAGAAGACGCCAAGCTTGTATATAATTGAAATTTCTCTGCAATTTCGCCGCAACACCTTAAAATGGTGTTTATATTCATAAACCATATCAGATTTGCTTTCCTGCACCACGAATAATTTATGATAGCAAGCTGCTTTGAATTTGTATAATATTGTTCTAAATGAAGTCATATTGTCATATGTTTATTCTTTCTTCCTGTACTTATTCATATATATTGCACCCTTAAAATCTTGAGTTAAACCGCAAAAAAAGTTTATGTCCAAAAGAGTATATTCAACAAAGCACGCGTGTGATTTACATGTGTGGGACCTCCGCACTGGATACGTTACAGTTACGGAAGCAGTCGATGGTAGCCGATTTTTTTAAAGGTATTGTCGGGGTATCCCTAATCCCTTCTTTGTGACGTTAGAACTGCAGCTAAATTATAATAAACAGCGCATCTCAAGCACGTTGTATTTTGTGTTATTTCTATTTCTTAACCCTCTCTCTTTCTCCCTCTCCCTCTCTCATTTTGAAAAAAAAAAAACAGAAATTTGAATAAATAAATAAAAACAAAAAATAATAAAAATTTGAAGAAGTGTCGCTTTCTCTGAAATTCGCGCATAAATGACATAGAGTTAAACATGGAAAGTTGCCCAGCATTAATTTGGTTATAGAGATGCACCGACCTTACATGAACCTTGGGTGGAGGTGGTCGTACTAGAAAAATCACTGCACCGGGCGTGGACGAGAAATCCACTTTGCTTAAATACCTATCGGGCATACATTTATGCTAATTCGGTTCCATTTTCAGCATAATTATCTAAGTAATATTAAAAAAATACAACCAGCCTGCGAGAGAAAGTATGAATCATCTGTCAAAATTGCGCCAACTTTATCTTGCTTAAAGTGAAAGGTCGTACATGTAGAGGAATTGAATGATATCGAGTTTGCACACTGACACTACACATGCACAACTATCCCTGTATTCATTACCTCCGCCAAGGAGGTTATGTTTTCACCCCTGTTTGTCTGTCTGTCATCAACATAACTCAAAAAGTTATGGACCGATTTTGATGAAATTTTCAGGAACTGTCAGAAGTGGGCCAAGGAAGAGATGATTAGTTTTTGGTGGTGAGCCGGATCAATAATCAATCAAAATCAATAATAAAAAAAAAATCGCTGCCTTGGCGGAGGTCTGCGCTCTCGGAGTGCTTTTCTAGTTAACCAAGGTCTCTTTAGCGACGTCGACCCACTGAGCTTTCCGGATAAAGGGAGGTGGAGATATACATAGGTGGGGCGGTTATGTATAATCAAGTTTTAATATACATGTAGTTGGTCGTGTAATGGAGGGACAGAATACGACACACTGGAGACGGTAGTCAACTTGCGTAAAACTTTCATCTGTAAACCATCGCTTTATGAGCAAATGACGTGTGCGTGATCGTGTGTTGTATTAAATTAAAAACACTTAACTTACAAAAAGATTTTGACAGCATGTCAATCTTAAGCATAAATGGATTGCCCGAGTGTAAGCTAAAACAAGTAAGAGAACTTTAATAGCTATGTGGACCCTTATTCTTGTAGTAATAATAATAATAATAATAAAAAGTGACAAAACGATGTATTTTAAAAATTGCTAATTTTTCCCAGGTGAAATGATCAATCCATTACAATACACAATTGTAACCCAAAAGAAATTGCTGAAAACCATCGTAAGTGTCTTCAAAAGGGACTTTTGAATTGTTAATTAAATTTGACTTTAAAGTTGATGAACACCTTGCTAGGACAGACTTCTCCTTGTATCAAATATTTAGAACTATGACAAGTAATATCATCTAAATTAATCAGTCTTTTTGTGCAGTTATGAGTATATTTACACGAAAACATTTTTAATTAAGTCACAAATGCTCTTTTAATTTCCAGGGGTCATACATAAAATTCACACGTGCTGAACTTAATATAGCTAGTTTGAAAGATTACAAGCAAACTTATTGTTTCATCAATGGTCAGCTGATAGTATCATTTTTCCTGTACATTTGTAGTCCCAAAGCATTGTAACCAACATATTCTGACATTGTGAGTGACACACAAGTAACGATGGGCATAATATTACAACAAATTGCGCTACTAATACTCAGTATCTACAATACTTTTTCTCTCGGTTGCTCTTGTGTTTTATTGAGGTAGGTTACTGAAGAAGTAGTGCTGCTTACCATAAGCTTGCTTCTACGTCTTATAAAAGCTTCAACTTGTGAATTCACCACACAAATTGTTGCGTCTCCACTCAACTGTGCCCAACTGCAGCTTGCACTACGACGGGCAAGTTATTGTTATGCAAATTACATGTACAAAAGATTTGACCCATTTATGGGTGAGAGGTTTTGGCTAAAACTGCTCACAAATGTTTACTGTCAAAATATTAACAGTGCAATTTTTGATACAACTGTTGTTAAAATATACTACTTTAATACAAATTAAAACTACTTTTAAAAATCATTAAGCGAATATAGCGTTTTTATGACTTTGTCTATCTCTCAAAACTCAAGATCCACAGAATGTTATATAATGAAGCCAATCAGCAGAAATAGTTTAATATGGGCAGGACAAACGGGTCCTTTCTATATAACTGGTCGCCAATATTGTCATCCCGGGCTCCGTATCTCGAAAGCATCGCGTATTGCGAATCGCTATATACAAAAGAGGCTACAATGTATTATATGGGACGAGTATGGGCGAGTTATGGAATCGAGACGCTTGCGCACGTGCGCAACATAGCGAACCTTTCGAGATACGGGGCCCAGAGCGAAGCTGTATTGCGCATGGTCACACGTTTTTTTTTTTTTTTTTTCTTTTTTTTTACTTTAATATCATTCTTTCTAAATATTATGTAGGCTTTAAAAGACAGGGGTCCGTTGAAAGAAATATTAGTGTATAGGCCTATTGCATGAAAATATGAAACATTGCATTTCAAAAATTGTAATTGAATGAAAAATCTATTTGTTGAATAGGCCCTATGGCAACACGTAGGCCTACCATGCCATAAAGAACCTCGCATGAAGATCATCAGTAAGAATGAATGGTTATGTGCCGGTAATTAACACCACATCGTTAGAATATTTTAAGTTGCAATTAAAATAATTGCTTTTTTATCCCCTTATTTTGTTGAGAATGATCGTTTTCTGTGTTTACTTGCAACTGGACTTGTTTTTTTCAAGTGTATTGCGCTGTGTTGCGCTGTATTGCGCTGTATTGCGCAATTTAGGCAGACCACTTTAAAAATGCACTCTAGAAAGTACGTGTTCTCAAGACTGACTGCACGAATTACACCGGAACTCGGATGCGGCTTATCTTGGTTGTTTACGCAATGGCCGTCTTCAGACGACTGTGCCACTTTCGAAAGGTGAAATTTCTTGAATTTTACCTCACAGAAACCTGCTGTGGGTGCCACGTTGACAAAAAACAATTTGGAACGAGAGAGGCCAAGTCACCAGACCTTCTTTGGGAAGATTATGCGCGGCTTAAGGATGCAGTACAAGGTAAAGCGTAGAGGTCATTCAATCGGCTGCAGACTATAATTAGGCTACCGTTTTCATAATTATTGTTTCGTAATGCGAACGATGTAATCGTTTCGTAACAGAAATTACTGCAGTTTTTGTGGGATATCAGATCTATCAATAATGACTGCAATGTTTATCATTATTTCTATTAATTTGTTATTAATTTCAATTTTTATTTATTCATTTATTTTTGTGAACATTTTTAAAACAATTAAATCACCAGTAACAATTATCTATGGCCCCAACCCCTCCTCACCTGCTTGAGAAAGAAACCATTATGTCATTAATAGCATATCCAAAGTACAAGTCTGTTGGATACCCGCCATGATTTAAATTAGGTTTATGCAGTTGCAGGAAAGTACGTACGTAGTAGCATACATTACTGCGTAAAAACAGTAGATCTAGATAATTATTGTACAAAACAAATGTATTTAAATAAATAAATGGTTAAAAAAATTCCAGCTCAGCCTCACCCTGCTCCCATCAACCCAGACTCTATATTCACCAACAATGAGCTGGACCTGGCTGACATGGATGTGTATGGCTTTGACTATGATTACACATTAGCTTCCTACAAGGAGTCGTTACATCATTTGCTGTACTCCCTGGGGACAGAGGCACTGGTCACAGGGTACAAGGTGAGGGTTTGACGTGATGGGGAAGTGGTTTCTGTATTTTCTTGCTTTTTATTATAAAAGAAAATTTTTTGAAAAATATACAGTGAATGGTAAGAAAATAAATAAATAAATAAATAAATAAATAAATAAATAAATAAATAAAAGTGAGGGAATAAGTTTGAGTAAGTGAGTAAATGGATGAATAAATGATCAAATTAGTGAATGGATGCATGCATGCATGAATGAATGAATAAAGTCAAAAAGTGCAAGCTGTTTTGGATGCAATTATTTTTTCATCCTTTTTTTTTTTTTTAACCTGGAATTTCCTAAATAATACATGTTATACTGGCAGTCCAGTTTAGATTTACTTTAGACTGTTAAATCTGTTAGTATCCCAATCTGCAAAATGTACCTCCAGTATAGTACATGCTGATACATGTTCCTATCCCAACCAATATGACTTGTATTTCCCATATCTACTAGTACATGTATTTCAATCTATAACATGTCCTTCTAGTATCTGCTAGTATAGTATATCAATCTATAACTTCCAGTATCTGCTAGTATCCCAATCTATATTTATTACTTACTTCCAGTATCCCGCTGCCATCAAAAGTATGAAGTATGACCCACAGTTTGCAGTGAGGGGACTGCACTTTGATGTCCACAAGGTAACACACAGGGTAGAGTACATGAAGTGATAAAGTAACTTTATTTCAATTAACAAATAGTACAGGGCCATTCCAGAGAAAAGTGAATCTCTGAGTCAAATGGTGTCTACACTCCATGATGAAATGTTTTTTGCCTTCAATTACCAGTTCACAATTATACCTTTCTTCTATACTCATAGGTGTTTATACAGAGGTTTGTCTGCCATTCACTTTGTAGTTGGTATTGTAAACATAATGATGAATTTTTGACCATGAAAAAATGAAGTCATAATAATACTGTGCAGCTATTCTTTTCTCGATATATATTGGGTATAATATATTGATTGTTTTGGGGTATTTCTTATATTCCAGGGTTTCCTCATGAAAATAGATGCTTTTCATAACATCCAGTTGGGTACAGTTTACAAGTAAGTTTTTATTTCTTGTGAACTATATTTACAAACATATTAAAAACTATGTATTATAGTAAAGAGCTGGTAATTTCAGCAGTTTCCCTTTATCGCTAAGAAAAATACTGCCATATTTCTTTTACCCGTTTTGCGTCCACAGGGGTTTGGAGCCAGTACCTGATGAGGAGGTTATTGAGCAATATCAGGGCACCCATGTCCCTGTGGATAACATGAGTGGCTTCCACGGCACTGTAAGGACCTCTTCTCTCTCTCTTTCTCTCTCTCTTTCCTCCTCCTCCCTTCTCTCTCTCTCTTTTCTCTTCCTCTCTCTCTATTTCTCTCTCTCAGTCTCTGTCTCTGTTGATAAAACTACAATAAGGATATCTCACAAGTGAAACAACTCTCTTGTTGCTCTCAGCATTCTGATAATTTTTTAATTTGTCACTTTTCAGGGAGGAAATATGGTGCAGCTTATGGACATGTTTGCCCTGCCGGAAATCACCCTCATGTCCAATGTTATTCAGGTATGTTAGAAACAAAGGTGACATTTAGTTCATTTACAGCACCCTGAATAACAGAGGTCACTTGTACCGGTATATGGACTCAGACTGTTGACATGACTATTCCTCTTCTTGTTTATAAAGTCAGTTCCCAGTAATATCTAATTCTTAGGGTGCTGCCAATAAAAGCAAATTAGTAAAGTCAGACACACAAGCATGCACGCACAAACACACACACACACTCACTAGATTGATAAGACCGTAAAAACAATAAACATATTTTTACTTTAACATATGTCTCTAGTCACAGGTTTCTAAATAGGACGCTAGTGTTCATTATAAAATTAATGAAATATTATTGGTTATGGATATAATGGTGTTTTGAAAAAGTACTGTGACATTAGTTAATAGCATAGATAAAACTTTATCTTTTTTTCAGTATTTTATTGAACACAGTATTGCCTTTGATCCTGGCTATGTATTCTATGATGTGAAGGTAGGTTTTGATCTCTCTCTCTTTCTCTCTCAAGCTGATCCATTTCTGTCCCATTCCTTGTCACCAAAGCGCATTTAAACTTATCATAACCTATTGACATGTTTCTCGCATTATTATGAAGACTTGAAGTTTTTCCACCCTCTAGATTGAGTTTTGGGGAAGATTTGTTTCACATGTGAAGGAAGATTTAAAAAACAACAACATACTGGTCCCTGACATAAATATAACTTTGATGTCTTTCACTCTAGACTGCTGTGCAAAATGTCCATAAATCGGGAGAACTCCACGCCAGTATTATGGATGACCTACGTAAGTAGCAGCAAATTATTTATTAATTTGAACATGACATCATTTGCAATGATTACTTATGTTGATTCTTCACATCTCCCACCTTTATATTGTCATATAATTTTTTTTAAGTTGTATTTTCATTTGCAATGCTATATATTGCTATATATATTGTAACTTACATTTATATTATGTGAGAGTCTTCATTTCTATTTGATCTATGTATATTTACTACTTATTTATTCATTCACTAATGACTATCAGTTGGTTATGTAAGCAATTGATTAAAATAACTAGTCAAACAATTGACAAATACATTGCCGTTATAGCAATAAAATTTCAGGTAACTTAGGATAACACATGCTCTTCTATTTCAGCCAAGTACCTTGAGAAGGAAGCGGAGGTTTCCCAGTTGATGAACAAACTGTCATCTGCTGGGAAGAAGCTTCTACTCATCACCAACAGTGGATATGCTTTTGTGTAAGAAAATCCCTGTGAACAAAGTACATTTTAAATGTTTGGCCTTGTTATAATTTAGTCTTTGTATTGAAGGCATGTTATGCAAGTTAGACATTAAAGTAGCAAAGAAAAAAAAGTTAATGGAAACCTTTGCAATTTTCACCTTTTCACTCAGGTACACACTAATNTAGGATCCTATAGGAAATTTTCGTAAGGGATGTACTTCCAGTATCTGCTAGTATATCAATCTATAACATGTACTTCCAGTATCTGCTAGTATATCAATCTATAACATGTACTTCCAGTATCTGCTGGTATTCCAGTCTATAACATGTACTTCCAGTATCTGCTAGTACAGTATATCAATCTATAACATGTACTTCCAGTATCTGCTAGTATATCAATCTAAAACATGTTCTTCCAGTATCTGCTAGTATATCAATCTATAACATGTACTTCCAGTATCTGCTAGTATATCAATCTATAACATGTACTTCCAGTATCTGCTGGTATATCAATCTATAACATGTACTTCCAGTATCTGCTAGTATATCAATCTATAACATGTTCTTCCAGTATCTGCTAGTATATCAATCTATATTACTTACTTCCAGTATCCAGCTGCCATCAAAAGTATGAAGTATGACCCACAGTTTGCAGTGAGGGGACTGCACTTTGATGTCCACAAGGTACTACACAGACAGTATTGATAGAGTACTATACATGAAGTGATATAGCAATTTATTTTAACTAATAAATAGTAAAGGGCCATACCACAAAGGCGTGAACCTCTGGGCCATGTGATACATTCATTTTTGTAATATTTTCATAAAAATGACTGTGTTACATGATGATGCATTTTTGCACTATGAATAAATGTAGTGGCAGTAATATTGTACAGCTTTTCTTTTTTCTATATACATTGGGTATAATATATTGATTGTTTTGGGGTATTTCTTATATTCCAGGGTTTCCTCATGAAAATAGATGCTTTTCATAACATCCAGTTGGGTACAGTTTACAGGTAAGTTTTTTCTTTTGAACTATATTTACAAGCATATTAAAAACTATATATTATAGTAAAGAGCTGGTAAAAAGCAGTTTTCCTGTATCAGCAAGAAAGCTACTGACATATTTCTTTTACCTTTTTGTATCCACAGGGGTTTGGAGCCAGTACCTGATGAGGAGGTTATTGAGCAATATCAGGGCACCCACGTCCCTGTGGATAACATGAGTGGCTTCCACGGCACTGTAAGGACCTCTTCTCTCTTTTTGTACTCCCCTCTCTCTCATTCTCTTTTCCTCTTCACTCTTTCTCTCTTTCTCTCTCTCTCTCACTCTTTCTCTCTCTCTCTCTCTCTCTCTGTGTTGATAAAACTACTATATGGACTTTTTCACATTGCTCTCAGGAAAGAAATTCTGATAATTTTTTAATTTGTCATTTTTCAGGGAGGAAATATGGTGCAGCTTATGGACATGTTTGCCCTGCCTGAAATCACCCTCATGTCCAATGTTATTCAGGTATGTTAGAAACAAAGGTGACATTTAGTTCATGGAACAGCATCCTGAGTAGCAGAGGTTACTTGTATGTACCAGTAGACTCAGACTATTGGCATGACCATGCCATCTCTTGTATATGAAGTCAGTTTCCAGTTATATCTGATACTCAGGGTACTGAACGGAATCTGCCAATAAAAGCAAATGAATAAAGTTGGACACAAGCATGCACGCACAAACACACATACACACACAAATGAACACACACACACATTAGATCAATAAGACTGTAAAAATAGTAAACATATTTTTGCTTATACCTATGTCTCAAGTGAAAAGTTTCTAAAGAGGACATTAGGGTTCATTATAAAATTAATGAAATATTATTGGTTATGGATATAATGGTGTTTTGAAAAAACTGTGACAGTAGTTAATGGCATAGATAAAACTTTGTCTTTGTTTTTTTTTTCAGTATTTTATTGAACACAGTATTGCCTTTGATCCTGGCTATGTATTCTATGATGTAAAGGTAGGTTTTGATCTCTCTCTCTTTCTCTCTCAAGCTAATCCATTTCTGTCCCAATTACTTTTCACCAAAGTGCATTTAAACTTATCATAACCTATTGACATGTTTCTCGCATGTTTTTGTAGTTATTATGAAGACTTGAAGTTTTTCCACCCTCTAGATTGAGTTTTGGGGAAGATTTGTTTCACATGTAAAGGAAGATTTAAAAAACAACAACATACTGGTCCCTGACATAAATATAACTTTGATTTCTTTCACTGTAGACTGCTGTGCAAAATGTTCATAAATCTGGAGAACTCCATGCCAGTATTATGTCTGACCTTCGTAAGTAGCAGCAAATTATTTATTAAAATTTAAATATGGCATTATGTGTAATGGTTATGTATATTGATTTCTTCACATCTCCCAACTTTAATTTTCGTATAATTTTTTCAGTTGTATTTTTTATTTGCAATATGATATATTGCTCTACATATTGTAACTTATTGTTATACTATCTCATGGTCTTCATATCTATTTTATGTATATATATATACTACATATTTATTCATCCACTAATGACAATCAGTTCTTTAATCAAGCAATTGATTAAAATAACTAGTCAAATATTTGACAAATACATTGCCATTATAACATTAAAATTTCAGGTAACTTAGGATAACACATTCTCTTTTATTTCAGCCATGTACCTTGAGAAGGAAGCAGAAGTGTCCCAGTTGATGAACAAACTGTCATCTGCTGGGAAGAAGCTTCTACTCATTACCAACAGTGGATATGCTTTTGTGTAAGAAAGTCCCTGTAAACAAAGTACATTTTAAATTTGTGGCCTTGTTATAATTTAGCCTTTGTATTGAAGGCGTGTAATGCAAGTTAGACCTTAAAGTAGCAAAGAAAAAAAAAAACTTTAATGGAAACCTCTGCAATTTCACCTTTTCACCCAGGTATACACTAAACTAAATTACAAATTATAAATGTAACCTGTTTTTGTGCTCTGAATATCTTACGAGATACATGTATGACAGGTTATCATAAACTAGAAATTTATAGCATAAATAAGGGGTTTTCAAGCAGTTTTGAATATGATGTACCTAGTTTGGTAATAAAGAAGATAGATCTAAAATCTCCAAAAAAATAATAAGTATTTGATATATTAAGGTTAAATGCTTAATGTGTGCCTTTCATAGTAGAAGATGGAAAAAAAATTACGTACAGTGTGTTAAATCTTTCTGTCCCTGTGTTAATTCTCCCTGTGATACTCCTTTCAGAGACAAGGGGATGAGCTATATGCTGGGCAGTGACTGGAGTGACATGTTTGATGTCATCATTACTAGAGCCAGAAAACCACAGTTCTTCAGACCCAAGAGGTAGTCCTCACGTTGTGTTTTTATTATTGTTATATAAAGGTGTACAGTGCATTTTAAAACTTGTGTATAAAATAGATTATATCATAGCAAACAAAGTGCTTTTGCCTTAATCACCATAGCCCAAACTATGGACAAAATCTAGACATTTATTTGTTTTTTTAAATCTGTTTATACATGTAAACATTTTTATGGTCATTTGCTTAACTCTTGGTCTAAGTTAACATAGGTTCTGAGCTCAAGTCCTCTTATGAAATTGACTTCCAGCAGAGAGGGATCATCGGCCATGTTCATTGTAAATTAATATAGAATATTTTATACTGGTCATGGCTGGAGACCTTTATAATGTTTTATATTAAGCATTTTCTATTGTGTTAATTATATATATTTTATTATAACCATCCTCAGACCATTCCGAAGTTTTGACAGAACCCTGGGGACACAGTCCTGGGGAAGAGTGACAAGTTTTGAAAAAGGACAAATATATCAGGAGGTAGGAATTGAAATCACAGTGAAAAATATTTTGAAAAGAGTCAGTTTGACCTGGATGTTTTGTGGTAGGGGTGGGGGAAATTATCTCCAAAGTAGTGATTTGAAAACATTTTTGGAAGATATAATAAGGAGAATTGTAGAACAAAGAGAAAGGGGAAAACACAAAGAAGGAATGGTAATGAAATATAATTTAACAAAAGTAAAATATGCTGACTGACTATAAAGAACTGCCTTTCATGGTTATATGTGTTTCTGATATAATTTTACGAGTTGGCAATTAAATTTATGTACAGGATAATGCTCTGGCAGACGGGAAGCCCCCATAGGTTTTGCTGTTCCCCCTCAAACATTAAAAATTACAAGAAATTATAATAAATTATAATAATACAAGCAAAATATTTTTCAATTCCGGTGCCTAACATACTATACAGGACTTAACATTAAGGGTGGCCCACTGGCCCTGGGCCAATGAAAACCAACCTAGGGCAATTGAATCACTGGGGTCACTGGCCCAAAGCAGGGTCGGATCTAAAGATAATTTCTGACAGTCTTCTAAATTATCTTTGTTGATCTTTCCTGCATTTTTGACCGTCTACCGACAGAAAAAATAGATACCCGTCAATGTAAACTTGAAAATCTGACCGTCTTCCGGAAGACCCAGAAGACGGCCTAAATCCGCCCCTGCAAAGAGCAAGTAAAATGCCATGTGTCAAATCATCCTTGCAAGATTTACCAATATCTCGGGCCAGTATCGAAAAAAGTTAGTGTCAAGCCCTGCTATAGTGCTACCTGTTTTATAGATGCAAAATGCTGAGTGAATTGAGGCAGCATCAGAAAGTTATCCTTGTTTCACCGACCCTCCTTTAGCCAAGTATTGGTATCCTGAAAACCATAGGCTAATAATATGGGAAGGCACAGTGGTATGGTATATGGTGTGGGTTTTGGCATATACTAGATATCATCATTTAGTTCTGTACTTTTGCTGTTATTTCAGGGCAATATGGATGACCTTCAGAAAATTACTGGCTGGCACGGTGCTAAGATGCTATACTTTGGGGATCATGTCTACACAGATTTGGCCGTAAGTCTTTTCTCTCTCTCTTTCTCTCTCTCTCGTTTGGTTTAACTTTCAAGTGTTGTAGACATGCCAGTGATTCTTCTTGATTTTTAAGGGCAAAAGGTGATCTTATAATGAGAGCCATTAATTACAACAATACTCTCAAAATAATTGAAGGTCATTTCATTGAATTAACAGATGCATTAGATATTTGATCACATTGATTTTATTATATCATTGCTGACCTGAGTTTCACATTTTATATAAAACATGACTGGAAGTTTTTTATGCACACTTGATTTCAGCATTGTTCTCCTTCCCTGCTCCCCCCATCTTTATCTCATCAGTAATGATTTTTGATGTTTGGAATATTTTTTGTGATGATTATTTATTGCCTAGTACTGTATACTGATAATGTACTTTTCTGTATTAATTTTTGATAATTAAAATAAATATATAATTTTATCTTCAGGATGCTACTCTCAGTATGGGCTGGAGAACTGGTGCAATTATCCCAGAATTAGAGGTACTTAACTTTGATATTTGACAACAGAAAACCCATAACCTAGATCTCTATCTACATCTCAACCCTTAATAAATCTTTTGTCTCTTTCATTTCTTTAATTCATGCAAATTTAAAGCAGAAGTTGCTTCCTGCTACAGCTTATTACTAACCTTCAGATCTAAAAACACAGAAGTCCATGCAGATGCATGTTTGCATGCATGCACACACACCACTTTATGACAAAGCAAATAAGACAGTTACTGTTTTATGAATTACCTTTGAACTCGAGTTATAATTTTGATTCATCCAGTCTTTGGTTCAATCAATAAAGAATGATTTGATAAATGAACTATTAAGTGAATGCTTATAGATGACAATGACATGTCTATTTAAAACTTACATTAAAAAAGGTTCATAATTGCCAATTCAGGGAGAGATAAAAAATTTCAACTCAGAAGAATTCACGAATGCAGTGACGTGGTTGTCTTCACTACAAGACTTGATAGAAAAAAGTCAGGTGCTCCATGACAGTCCTGAAGCTGAGGCCGTGAGACAAGAGTGGCTGAAAGAACGCGATCAACTCCGGTAAAAAATAAAATATCTCTTTGTTTATGTTTCTGTAAAAATTTTCTTATGTATTTGTTTGTTAGTTACCCATTTTTAGTGAAGGAATTTATGTTACCTTTTCATCGTTGTTGCTGAAACTGTATGTCTGTCTGATCATGGACAATTTATCTTAAGAAAATTCTCTAAATTTTAATGAAACTTTCAAGATAGACAATTATTCAGGCATTTTTTGCTTGCTTATTTATTTAATAACTGTCAGAAATTTGTCTATCAGTGAGGATTTGTAAATAGCTGATGAAAAGTTCAAAATTGAAGTATTTTAAAGTTATTTCCCAAGAGAGCATACAATAACTTTGTTAACTGAATCCACTACTTTCAAAGTTTAAACTTATATTTCTTTGTTCAAAAATCAATCAGATTAATATCTTTTTAATTAATTTGTAATTATATTTATAATATTAATTTTTCATTTCAAATTCTACAGAGTTGCAACCAAGGAGGTGTTCAACCCACGGTTCGGCAGTCTGTTTCGTACCTACCACAACCCCACCTATTTCTCTCGCCGTCTCTCACGCTTTGCAGACATCTACATGTCCTCTCTCACCAACTTGTTAAACTACAAGTTAACTCACACGTTCTATCCCCGGAGGGCTGCATTGCCACATGAGGTGCACTATGGATCAGGACTAGATGGCTGCTCAATGTGTAGATGAGGGGTGATCTTTACGGTAATCTCTCTAGAATATCAAACACCACACTTATTCGCGATCGGGACCGCCCTCTTCACAAAATGAGTTCAGGCTGAAAGTTGGTTTTAGCTTTGAGGCCAAAATTATAGTCTGCATGGATCCATGAAAGAGCAATGTTTGTCTGTTGAAACGTCATTGAAATGTTGTACCTGTTTTATACAAATGAATATAAAAGAAAGAAATCGCTGCTTTTAAGCAGTAATTCACTTAATTATAAGTTTTTGAAATACTGCACAAATATTCTGAATTAAATAAGTCGAGATTTAATTTTTGGTTTATAAGAGTTAAAACCAACTGCTGGTGTAAAGTTCTTGGTTAAAATGGCCCCATTTAACATAGTTGAGAACATTATTTTAAGTCATTATGATAAAAAAGTTTGCTTTTTTAATGCAAACAATTTTTTCCTTTATCAATTTTAGATTTTTTTTTTTTTTTGATAATGATCCGTACAAAATATTTTGAAAAGTAGAATTGGACATATTTTCCTTTGTATTTTATGGGTTTTACCCTCAAGGATCTGTGTGAGGAAAAACTTGCTCATTTTACAATGGATAACTTGAAGCTCACTTCAGTATGCTAAAATTTAATTATTGAATCTTGTTTATGTACTAAATTTCCTATTCATGTTTTAACTTTTGAAGTCTTGTCAAACCCAGTACAGAACGTATGCATTTGATATAGAAGTTGTGCCAACTTTTTAATGTGATTTGAAATTTACTCACGTTTGCTGAAAAGTTACTTTATACATGTTAGATGTACAGTAGGGCCATGTTCTGAGGCTTATAAACCTGCATTTTCTTGACTAAAATATGTAAAATACCCCTTTAGAGTATTACATTTTTTAAAATCTAATTTATTTTAAATTCCCATACTGTAACAGTGAATGTGAATTAAGTCAAGTTATAACTTGTTTTGAATCTATATTTAGGCACTTGAACATTTTGTTAAGTTTGAGATATATATAAGTATATATTTAGAATTTGTTATGTATTTATTAAAACCAATATTTATAAAGCTGTGAAATGTGGGTGTAAAACTATAAGTGGTCAATAAATGGTGGATGTAATGCTTGTCAAGTTATGCAATATAAGTACATCAAAAGCTGTATTACAATATTATCTATGTATTGTTCCGTTCCGTTTTGTTTTCATTTTATTATGTGAACACTATTCACATACAGTTATTAAGGAAGGATATGTATTTTTATTCGTGTGGTTGCAATTTAAATTTTTATCTCACCATAAGATAAACGTCTAAACAGTAAGGACAGTAAGAATAAGTGTTTGACTTTTTGACTGATTTTTGATTGGCAAAACCCGAACACTTTATTTATGGTGCAGGTAACAAATGGTGCATTTATAATGATATTAATATATATGTATAATGAATAGGGTTCTTTGGTGTGGAAATCTCTTGTTAACCAAATCTTCTGTGAAAAGCCTGGCAGGGCTATTCATTTAGACAACTATGTTGTTGCTATAAGTATATATTTTAAGTGCTATTTCAACCTTTTCAGCAAAGTTGTAATGTATTTCAGCTTCGCATATCAATACATGGTGCATTTATTTGTGTGCACGTTGACATCACACTCTCACTTAGTCAAGCCTTTTTTTTTTTTTTTGCATAGCTTAGATTTTGTTGATTTTGCTTTTTAAGTTAAAAAATGTATCAAAAATATATCACAGACTATAGTTAGTTAATATCCAGCAACTGAACAATATGTAAATTTGATTGAATTTCTACCGTCATTGGGTAAGACCAGTTATTCACTTCCTTGGCACCAGGTGATTTGGTGATGTATTTGAACTTTTAATAGTCTCTTTAACTTTTTTGTCTCAGAAGGTGTAAGTTTTATCTAACATGCCTATTGGAAATTTTCTCAGTAGGTATTGTTGACGACGGATGAATCTCGGAGCTGATTTTTAATAATTGTAATTTGTTTAAATTAAAATTTTAAGAGATTTTACTGTAAGTGTAAGATGCAGATCACTTTGTGTTGCAGATAAATAATTTTAATTTACGATTTTTGAAAGGTTCGGTTAAAACGATAGACACTGTATCATCGTAACATTCACAAACAAGTTATGTTAATAAAAAATAAAACGTTTATTGGACAAATATTGTAAATATTATAAACTCCCTGTTGTTGAATCAGGCTTACTTCTGAAAAACCTGTCCGGAAAGTTAGATGACTTCGGATGCTTTTATTTTCATTTTGTTATACACTGTATTTCTTGATTTATCCATCGCTCTGTTGCAAAATAAAACTGTCACTTTTTTTGCTATCAGTCTATCTTTTTGAAGTTCAAATTCTCTCTGGGTGTTTCTCACTCTGTGTATGTAGCTTAGCTGCCGTACAGTGTGTCCCGAAGCTAATATATGCCTGTAACGAGTAAAAACAGGATATCACGTTATTGCATGTAGAAAAGTATCATCTTGTACCGAACCTTTGTCAGTAGCATGTTTAATATCAAACCCTTAACAGTCGCCAATGCAATTCATTTTTGAGTTTTTTTTCTAAGAACATGGGGTTATCAACACTTTTATTGCCAGGTTCTACACGTATGCTATAGATGTATTTATTGTCGTTTAACGGGTCAACGATGACGTGTCTTAGGAGAAAGGTCATTAGGAGGTACAGGGGGCGCTGTATTCAAAAGGTGAACAGATCACGTGAGGAAGGGAAACGATCATTCGAAGTCGAGCTACGCTAATGTACAGACATTCCAGTTTATTCCAAATAAATGTTTTTGTATAAAAACATTTGTATAAAGATGGGGTTTGATTATGCGTTATAAAATTATCAGATTCATGTAAGTACGAACTATACCGGAATTGGAATTAGGCTATGCGGGAAATGTAACTGGTGACGGAGCAAAAGTTTGTATGTAATATTGTATCGTCTGTACACAGGCAGAGGCACATCGACTCATTCCTATTTATAAATAAATGATTTGGTGTTTGAAGATGAAGTGGTTTTATTCGTTGAGAGTTATTAGACGATAAATAATTTATATACGTTTAAGCGTAAGCGAATTAGAATATAATTGTTTTTAACTTCTGTGTGGTAAACAGAGTGATATCAGTGGGCACGTGTCCCTCGATTGCATTGGCTTCTTCCTCCCTTTCCAGGAAAAAAAAAAAAATAAAAAATACCCCCCCCCCCCAAAAAAAAAGGATGATTGAAAAAAAATCAGTTGCTGTATTAAAAGCGATGCAATACAAGACAAAACCAAGCACTTTCTCATTCGACTGCCCTACGTATCATATTTGCAGGAATGCCTTGGTCTATTGCTTTAAACTTTATTTGCCTAGCTTCGCATGGTAACATTTCCTATCCTTGTGTCGGCCCTTTAATACAGGCTTCACTTGTGCTATATTAAGTTCATTTATTATTTTTCATTTATATTACTTTTCATCGCCTTTTTTTACCGGGTCAGTGAACAAAAAGACACTGCAAATTACCAGTCAATAAGGGGCCGCTTATGACAAGACGGACATCTTTATATTGGCCATGTTGACCATCCCCTCCCTAAAAATAAAAATAAATAAATAAATAAATAAAAAACATGGCCGTTTGTCCAGCGAAATGAAGCAAACGATTCTCATTCTTGACCCCCCCCCCCCCCCTTACAAAATCTTGGATAAGTCTTGGATAAGTCGGTGCATACTTTACCTTATGCTTTATTTTCAACAGGAACCGGTAACGCCATTGTTCTTTGGATGAAGCTATCTTGGTTTCGCACGGATACTGCCATACAACTGACCCCACCTGGACCTTGGAACTGGCTCCTCCTGGATCTTACCGTCTGACTGGAGAATGGAGAAAAAAGAGAACACCCTGTCACTATTAATTTTAAAATGTACATTTTGTGAACGCCACATAACTGCAAAGAGGCAGTTTGGCGCTGGGGGTGCAGCCACGCCCCCCCCCTTCAACTTTGGAGACACCAAAAAATTTCCTGCACACCCTCCCCTTCCAAAGAAAATATTATAAAAATTAACATGAGCAAACCTGTACATGTACATTTCTCACTGTTGTAGAAAACCAAGGCCCTATTCTACAGTGTTGATCATTCTCCCCCATCCTCCTCCCCCCCTCACAAACCAGTGCACATTGACGCATATACTGAGATAAATAATCTGTCTGTTGATTTGAAATACGTTTTTATGATTTTTTTTTGTTTTGCTTTTATTTCTTCATGTCTGCTTGTCTGTTCTTGTGCGTGTTGCAAACAAAATGGATAAAATTAACAATACGAATACTATTAATTGTAAACGCCATGATCCATATGCCCACATAAAGGATTTACTGTCAAGACCTTTATATAGGAAACAATAAATAAATAAATAAATAAATAAATAAATAAATAAATAAATAAGTAAATAAATAAATAAATAAATAAAAATAAAACAGACCGACTTGAGGTACAAAGGAGAAATTTAAAATATCCCTAACTGGGTAAAACGTTTTGGAAACGTCTTTTAGCAGGGTCCATTGTCAAAAGAAAAGAAAAATGCGGCATGGCGGCCACATTCCGTTACGTTTTATATTTTCCAAGCTGTTAGTGAGCATATTGCCTTTTTTAATAAATATCAAAATTGCCAATTTTTACATCTTTTCTCCAAAAGACCAATTATTCATTTTTTTGGCCATACAGTATATAACTTCTTGAATGATTATATCCAGCATAAGATTTGACTTTAATTTTTCGTGTAGATTCTCTGAGAACAAAATCATTTATAAAGAATATTAGCAAAAAATTTGCTTTTACCAAATTATCAACAAGGTATCAGAAAGAGTTGCAATATCTGTAAACCAACAACGTTTTATTGAAGGACATTTTTGTAGAAAGGTAAGTGATTTATCTAAAAAATATTATTCAGAAATAAGCAGATATATCAGCAGCTCATTATTTAACAAGTCAACAAACATATATGTTTGCATTTAAAGTTCGAGCAGCAAGACAAAAAAATAAATGACAGTTCTTTAAAATGAGTTAAAATATCAGTGACTTCGATATAACAAAATAAATATATATTTAGGTCATTCCACTATAAGAGAGTCATAATGTTTTTAAGAAGTCATTTAGTAACCGATGATGTCATCAACATTCAGATTCAGTGGTAGCCATTACGTACTTCTTTCGTATTAGCACAGCTACAAGTATAATTAGGATGATGAGGAGAAGAATTCCACCCGCACCGCCTCCTATTATAGCTGAAATAATAATAATAATAATAATAATAATAATAATAATAATAATAATAATAATAATAATAATAACAAACATTTTATATATTGATAATAACAATCACAACAGCGTTGATAGTAACAAATATAACATATAAATATAACACTCCCTTAAAATACCGTAGTAACATGATAGGACATTAAGCAAAAATAAAGAGCTGGCAGCTGATTATGGCACCATCCTTTCCTTTCGAATTCATGGACAACACACAGGAAAAAGATAAATAAGAGAGAGATAGAGGGAAAAAATAAAGGAACAAACCTATTTGGTGTCCACTTAGTCCACCATTTCGTGCTGTTTGCTCCTGCCTCTGGTTCTCAACATTACTATTCACATTGGCTGGGGTTGTAGCACTTGCTGCTACATCGTCTTGGGTCGCCAACAGGTTTTTGGCTTGTGTGGTAAAGACACCACCAGCTGTAGATGTTGCGACTTCTTCAACGCCTGCGGTTGAGCGTTCGAAAACACCGACAGAGCCGGTCGTTATTTTAACCGGTTCTGTTTGTATTACCACTCCCAAGTCATCAGAGTCTGTTGTCCTTGGCAACTTTGTCCCAACGGTTGTCCCAGGCAACTTGGTTTCAACCGTTGTCCCAGGCAACTTTGTCTCAACCGTTGTCCCAGGCAAATTTGATCCAAGAGTCGACAACCCTAATGTCGACTGCGCCTGGTTGTTCCTCATTGTGCTAGTTGTGACAGGTTGCAATGTGGTAGATGTCTGACTCTGTGTAGTGGCTGGTAGGCTGGTTGACGTTGTGGATTGGGTGGTCGAAACAGTTCTTGTTGACGTTACTGAATCTGAATAACTGGGACTTGATGTTGGTCTGGTTGAAGAAAGTTTGGTTAAGGTAATTCTAGTGACTGATGCGTGTTTTGTAGTTGAAGGGAGGTATGTGGTTGATTTTGGAGTGGTAGTAGTGGTTGTGAGTATTTTAGTTGTACGTGGCGTGGTTGTGGTTGATGGAATTCTGGTTGTAGTCATAGGTTTTGGTGCTGAAGTTATTGGAAGAGTAGCTGTAGTTGTAGGAGGAATTGTTGTTGGCGGGTGTGTGGCCGGGTTGAACTGAAAAACAATGGCCATGTTGCCTGAACTCAATGATGCAGAGTTTTGTGTTGTCTGTGTGCCAGTTGTTTGTTGCCAAGTGGCCGGGTGGAATATGAACTGCGATGTATAAGGGTTTAGGTTTGCCTTTGTTGTAGAACTGTGAGATCTGGGAGTGCTTATTGGTAATGTAACTACTGGTAAGATTATTGCCTCTGATCGTGTAGTTGTCGTTTTTGTTGTGGGCGGCGTCGTTGCAGTTATTCTTATTGTTGTTGTTGGTGATGGTGTAGGTGTTGTTCTTGTTGCTGGTGGTGTAGGTGCTGTAGTTGTTGTTGTTGTTGTAGCAGTTGTAGTAAATGTTTGTGGATACATTGTAGTCACTGGAGGCTCTGTTGACGTAGATGGCGCTGTCGTCGTCGTCGTCATGGCTACAGGAGTGGTCGTTGAGGGGGCAGGGGAGGTCGGTACCTCACAGCGGTAAGTGATGTGGACGTATTCACTTCTAGTTGTCTGCCCATTACAGGTGAGTCTGCTGTCTTGGAAACGAACGTACTTCTGATCTGGGGTGAGGTCCATCATGAATACGTTCTGAAAGTAAACACTTGGTTTTATATCTGGACTGCCTCATGAGCAAGTGTTCAGTATGAGAGTTAAGGGGCTGTTCGGAATGAGTTAGGCTGGCCTGGCTAATACGACCTCACTCCTCGGGAACTCTCGCTGAATGCAATCAGACTAACAGATTAACAAATCTTCTCCTGCACTGAGTAGAATACAGAGGATTATGCGAGTACGTTGGAAACAAGAGGAGGCGTGTTCGTCTGTACTTGACATACCTGCATCGGTTGTTGACAGTCGCCCCTGACATGGTAACATCTCCCGTCATTTGGGTGAGGTGACGAGGTTGACGTGGGTTTCCCCTCAATTCCCTTAGTTACGACTACCTGTGTTCCCGTCGGACATTGAAGAAGGTAATTTTCTTGACAACCGAAAACTTGAAATTCGCCTGTAAAAAAAGTAGATAAATAAATAAATAGATAAAATAAGATTAATAAAAAACTTAATGAATTTGTTAAAATTAAATTAATCAGTTAGGATGGAAAAAATTAAAACCTAAGAATAAGGATAAAAATAAAACTAAAAATATGTTCAATGGATTTAGATATATCTTACCATGGAGATTTAGGAATAAGTTTCAGAATTTTCAAGAAACTTTATTTTGTGTTATATAACGTGCTCTGGATGCCTTTAACTGGCATCATTTTTACCAAACATATCAGTCAGTAGTCCGTTGAAGATCTCAAAGGAATGAGGCTATTGTTGTTGATCTACATGTAGCCTCGACTCCAGAAATTAAATCCCCCCATTCCCCCTCCCATCACTTCCTCCTTAAATTTTTAATTTATTTTAATTTTATCAATTGAGTTGACTATAATTAAATTTATGGACACTAGTTGTTCGAACAAGTCAAACAAATAGAGCAGTCGTTTGTAACAACACACCAACATCATTCAGGAACCGGACATATTTTCAACAAGATTTGAGAACGCGCAACTCACCCCCGGCCGACTGGCTGACCATTCGCACCACTTGGTCATCCACTGGACTGTCCACTGTGGCCGTAAAACTCACTTGACCGCTGGGAGTGGACGGGTTCTCGCGGAGGATGTACGTGCTGTCGTCCGAGTTTGTGTAGGCAGGGCTCTTGAAGTTAAAGGAACAAATGCAATGCGAATTTTTTAAATCAGATAGTTAAAATAAAAGGGGAGATACAAAAGAAGATATGAACCTAGGTTTAAAAAGACTCTGAGCATTTACCATGGGACCCAACACTTAACCTTAAAAGGAATAACTGTTACACAGAAAACTTATAACCTGAAAATACCCAAACCGCTTATGATAATATGGAAAAACAAAAAAGGCTGTAAAGTGATTTATGATACGTTTATAAAAAAACTGTACGAAACCCCTAAAAATGAAATAAAATGGGAAAGATTCTTTAATAAAGCAATAACATGGAATCTTATCTACAATCGTCTCCTGACAGATATAAAAGAATCCAAACTCAGATGGTTTAACTTTAGATGTATTCATAGAATTCTAGGGACAAAATACTTACTGTTCAAATATAAAATAGCGGATAATCCTCATTGCAATTTATGTAGCACAAGGATGGAAAGAATTGAACATCTATTCATAGGTTGTAATCTCGCAAAAAATTTGTGGAAGCAAATCGAAAACTGGTTAAGGGAAGAAAAGGGAGCCAATATTCATATTTCTGCATCGGATATTATCCTCGGAAATAATGATGAGAAATTGAATTCATTGATTTCCCAGGTAAAATATTACATTTACAGTAAATCAAAAAATGGGGGACATCTGTCCTTTAGGGACATCGAATGCTATCTGTGTTAGAGAAAAAATGCTGTGCTTATCAATATCTTATTTACTAATGAAAATGATGAGCCATCAGTAGTAGTTATAAGTGTCTGTGTGTGTGTGTGTGTGTGTGTGTGAGAAGTAAGTGTGTATAAATAATATAAAAATATTAAAAAAAACACTTAACCTTGACGAATCTCAGGAACCATCAGAATTGAATTTAAAAAACGTTGAATTCTGCAAAAGTGTCGCTTACAATAACTGGTTCCATATACTCAGAATTGCATCGGCATCTTGTTCTGAGTATCCTATGTGTAAGGATCTTAATGGCATGTGGTGATTAGGCCTACTGTACTGTAATTGATGTCTCAGTTTCGCTTGTTGTGCAAATGTAATGTTTATAATACGCCTGTTATTTAATTAAGTAGCTTACCTGGAAATCCTTTGGTGCTTCAGAAAACTTAAGTGTAACGCTCCAGCCTTCACTCGGCGGCAGTCCACTGACAGTACCTTGGATGTTCCCGCTTCCTGGAGGATTCTCCGTTACCACCAGCAAACCAGGGCCTAACAAAAAGGAATCAAATCAGTAAAACTTTCGGATCTCTGCTTTCGAAAAGATGTTTCGTGTTTCGCATTAAATATGAAAACGCTAATATATTTATCAGTTACTATTATTATACAACTACCATTATTATTGTTGTTATTATATACTGAACGTACCATCAGCGGGATCCAATGCTGCTGTTGGAACGGGGGGAGGCAACGTAGTAAGATGAACAGCAGTCGTAGGCATCGTAGTAGGCGTACTTTCAGTGGTAGGCAACGTAGGAGCGGCTGTGCTTGTTGCTGTTTCACCCCCTGTTACATCCGGGTTACTTGTGGTAGCAGACGACTCCACGCAGATGTAGGAAATATGAACGTAATCACTTATCACCTGCTCGTCACCACAAGTCATCTCGCTAGGCTTGAAAGTGACAAGCTGTTGGTTTAAGGTGATCGTTTCCACAGCAACATTCTAAGGGAGATAAAAAACAGGAATGAGTGAGTTATTAAAATAAATCGAAATAAAACGACGACCCTGTCTCATACCAATTAAGTAGCGTTAATGGAAAGACCTCACATATTTTAAGATGCTTATTTTTACTTTTGCGATAATATCGATCAACTTTTAATCATATCTTATATTACTTTAATCCATGGACAAAATTCGTTATTATGTCTAAGTTCAATCACAGTTTTAATGAAATTATTTCCTATTATCTGTATACTACACATAGGCATATATGATGTGCACCTTAATAGCTTGATTGCAGTCCCCATTGGCGTAGTAGCACCTTCCTGCATTTGGGTGAGTTGACACCGAAGAGTCGGCTTTACCTTCCGTTCCCATGGTGATAAAGACTTCCGTGCCCGTGGGACAGGAAAGAAGTAATTCTTGGTCCCCGCAGCCGAACGATTGAAAAAGGCCTTGTAATATAATAGATAATTGTAATGAAAACAAAATCTGAAACCACTTGAAATATGTCTAGATGCCAGGTGTACGCCGCAGATAAATAACGGTTAACAAGATGTAACATTACCAGTGAAGCATGTGATACATATTATTGTGTTTAAGATTGCCAATAAGAGAGAGAGAGAGAGAGAGAGAGAGAGAGAGGATTGTATTGATATAGTTGCGTAATAAATATCAAAATAAAAATAAACGAAACAAATCATTATGTGGCAATTTAGTTCACACAATCCTATTACCTGCCGCTCCCTGGCTGGTCAGTTTGGCCCCGTGTCCCTTTAGTGGGGCGGCCAAAGTGGCGTTGAAGGCTGCCCGGTCACTGCTGGACACGGGGTTCTCGTACAGGGCTACGGTCACGTTGTTCAGCCGGACACCCGTGGGGCTCTAGAAAACAGATTAATTGAATGGAAATAATTTCTATTAAACTGAATATTCAAACCGATCACATTGAAATACGTTTTGAAATTATTCTTTTTATCGTCACGTTAATGAATTATTGATAAAGTTGTATTCTTCGCGTTAAAAAAATTGTTTTTTAGACAAAGTTGCATATTTAAAATCATGGAAAAATGTATAGGCTTACATGTAGCCTACAATTTGCGACTTCTCCTATAATCAATACCGTAATGTAAGCGAACAAAAGAGCGAAGGACAATATCCTCTCTAAAGACCGAATTACAAATCGTGATCTGAAGACTGTAGGAATAAAGATCAGCTACCTGGAAGGTGTCCACTTCCTGTGTGAAATTTAAGGTCAATATCCACCCCTCTCCCGCCGGTAGCCCTGTGACTTCTCCATGAATATTTCCGCTCCCTGGGGGGTCCTCCGTAACCGCTAGCAAACCTGGCTCTGAAAATGAAGGAAGAATGGATAGACAGATAAATAATGAATCAAGAAGACAGACAGACACAGGCAGGCAGACAGACAGACAAACGGACAGATGGACAGAAGGAGAGAAAGAGATTAAAATAATGAACAAAGGTTACTTGGTAAGAATTTTGCTTTATTTTTTCTGTGCGTGCACGTCCTTATGAACCGATATTCTCTAAAATACAGAAAGCAGAAAATCCATTTATGATAATATGCTAGTGTTCTGTACCTCTTATCCACCCAACTGGTTGAGACGCCGATCCACCTGACGAGGGCGGAGCGGTAGTAGTTGGAAGAGCGACAGTACCGCTTGGCGTCGTTGCAGAACTTTCGGGGTTCGCAGTAGTGGACGCAGGGGGTGTGCAGACGTAAGTGACGTGGACGTAGTCGCTGGTCTTCTGCCGTCCTTGACACGTCATTTCACTAGGCTTGAAACCAACGTATACTTGAGTGGGGCTGTAGGTTTCCACGACAACGTCCTGTGATAAAACAATACATTAATTAGAATATGTTGCCTGATATACTTAGTGCATGAGATCAACCACATTACAGTTTATTTGAGTAAAGAAACAACAATATCTGTTGAAAAGAATTATAACAACGGTGGTGGTGGTGGTGGTGATTTGTAAGAGAGAGATACTTTTTTTAAAAAAGGTGTTAATCGTACCTTTACATTTGATATTTTCTTTGGCCTTGTCCAGACGTTCAGGAAAAGTAAATGCGGTCCTACTCGGTATCAAAATTCATTGTTGTCTCATAATTTGCCTTTATTTTTTTAAACACGAGTGTACATGCGCCAACTTGAAAATAACGTTCAATTTGAAATGTTTAATTTACCGTGGATTTTTACACCAATTAAACGCCAACATCACCTTTAGAATTTTTACAAAAGGTCTTTCCATTGAAGTTTGCCTCCAATTCTTATTTACGGCACATACCTTGATAGCCTGATTGCAATCACCATCTACGTGATAACATCTCCCGTCATTTGGATGTGTTGTCGTGGAAGAGTTAGCTATTCCCTCTGTTCCCATGGTGATGATAACTTCCGTTTCCGCGGGGCATTGTAGTAAGAACCCCTGCTCTCCACACCCGAATACTTGGAATACACCTGGCACGAAAATAAAATATAAATAAAATGTTGTGATTATTTTTTTCGAATGATGGGATAATTCAAAGAATAATGTATTATGTTACATGTAAGTGGTGCGTACTTGAAACGTTTATTTGCTTTTTATAAGGCGAGCTGCAGGTGGACCCAAGGCAAAAAAGGGAAGGACGGAGAATATGTAATAGTTTTTAAATTCTATAGTCCTTTGCAGCCTTTTTTATTAATACTATTTTTAATGAAAAAAAATACGTACTACATGTACACTTTCATTTGAAAGTCTTATTGCAAAGTCAGTTTTATTCGTTATAGTATCAAAGAAAGATACCATGTAAAAATTACTAGTTATGAGGAATAATTTACCTCCGGCTCCTTGTCCAACTAACCAGGAGACGGGCTTGTCTTGGAGCGGTCCACTTAACATAGCCGTGAATTCCGCCCTTTCACTGCTGCTGGCGGAGTCCTCGTATATCACGTACACCGACTCATCTATCTTTATGTGGGTGGGGCTCTATAATTATATAATTTTACTTCATATATCACTTGTATAAGAGTTCATGTATATATAGCTTTATTGATTCACATATCTAATCGCTTCAATTGATAAATATTTTTGACAAAAAGTGCTAAAAGTTATGAACATACATGTAGGCCTTATCATTAAACTAGAATCATTAGTTGGATTACCTTTAAGCTGGACCTGCATAAACCATATCCAAAACGGTTAACAAAATGACGATATAAAACACGTTTTATATAGAGCTGCTTTCGTTATGAAGATTGAAACTGATAAGTTTCATTCTTGCCGATAAAATTAAGTAAGCTAGAACACAGTCGAAGTTTTCTATTTTGGATAAGTTATACATTGGCGTTAAAAGGAAAATCTCCGAAATTTCCAAGTTTTTAAACGCCTATAAGGATATATCCATTGATCAGCACTATTGAACGCCAGTTCATTGGTAAAAGCATGTTGGAAAACGTACAATTTTTTTGAAAAAAAAATGTATGAATCAGTCAAATATATACTACATGTAGTTCATACATAACGTAGCTTGTAATTTATGGGCCGACAGCTAAGCCATGCAGTCTCCCCTAACTGAGATGTTACTCGTCTTTTGCTCCGGGCTCTGTTGCAAAATGAGCCTGGAATATTTGTCATACTCCATATAACATATTACACAAAGGCAAAAGTATTCAAGACAAACATGCCCAGCTTTACCGACATACAGATGAGACATGTACAGTATTTACGTCATCAGACGTAGATCAAAATCTTTGTGACGTGAAATGTGACGTCATACCTTATAGCTTTAATATAGAGACAGTTGTGTTTCAAGGTAGGACTTTGATTTTGAAATTGTGCAAAACCTTGTTTAAGGTTTGTGTAACTGAGCTTGTTTTTATGATAGTGTGTGATACTGAACCCTGATGTTGTATCATCTTGGAATCCCTATTCGCTTTTATATCTACGATACAGACGCATTCGTATAAAATCATAACAATCTGTATACAGATTATCGCAAAGAAGCGGCTTTACAGCAGACAAATAATAAACATTGAAAAAACAATGCACATGGTATATATATCATGTAAATGGCATACACATTCTGCTAATCATTTTACAAGTCAATAGGGCCTACGGTAACTACTCTTGACTCTTTATGTACACTCTTTTCACGAAAGTGGACCTAGATTAGAAGTAAACTGTTAAGATTTTTTGCCTGTCGTACCTGAAAGCTCTCGACCGCCTGTGCGAATTTCAAGGTAAGTATCCAGCCATACCCCGCCGGTAACCCAGTGACTTCCCCCTGTATGTTACCGCTCCCTGGGGGGTCCTCTGTCACCACCAGCAAACCTGGCTCTGAAGAAATATCAAATGGTAAAAAAATCGAATTCAAGTGTAGGAAACTGTTGAGCAATGGTCCATAAAAAGGAGTCAAACAAGATGTTCTTTGTGACACCTGCCCTCCCAACAGCAATGTTTATGCAGTTGTAGTTGTTGTTTACTTATTAACACTAGGGCATCTTTTTTCTTCTCGTATAATATCATGCACCTGCTATTTTCTGTTTTAATTCATTAGTAAGGCTAAAATGATCAATTAAGTTATTTTTTATTCTGTACCTTTCTGTCCACTTACCTGTAATTTGTGAGTAGACAAAGATACATAGCTGTAATATTAAAGTCGCATAAAGCGTTGATAATTTCGTCCTTGTCATTTTCTTTTTTTAGTATGGTTCTTGTTGCTTTCGGGAATTCTTTTATCCAATGATCTCCTGCTTTGCTTTGCTTTGTACAGATTTGCCCAGTGTTGACACTACTGTAAACAATGTATTGTTTTTGTATTGTCTCGCCGTTGATAATTTGTTGGTCTCAAGAAACAAAGTAATATTGCCTTCTGAATTTTTTTTCTGAATCCTCAGTTTCAGCTTGTCGCTTATACAAACGTGTTTTTAAATATAATATCCTCAGTCGATTTCATCCGCCACGTCCGTTAACTTGCATTTGACAACTGGTTTTTCCAAAAAGCTTTTCCTCAAGCTGGCCTTCAAAAATTGTTTCCTTAATTTTGATAAGTTGTTTTTATAAACTTGAGACGATGTTACAGATTAGCTCCCACGCGTTTCGCAAAAGCTTAGGCTCACTTAAAGTAACTTCTTAGACTCCGGTGTCCATACTTAATAAAGTGATGATGATTCATTGACTCTATTTCCGTCCGTCGTGTGCAGAGTGGACATTGGTCATTTTCACATCCGCATCACGTGTAAGGAGATGTATGGGGCGGAGGGCGTGGCTGGTTGACCACATCCCCCCGGGGTCACCCTCAGGCATGTAACACACAAAGGAAGGAGGAGGGGAGGGGTAAGGGAGGATGTTCCAAAACATTCTTCTATCTAATCCTGATATGCAATTAGTACAGAGAGATCAGATATAGAGCGGTTGTCTTTTGTTCATCGATTTTCTTTTAAATTTGAGTTCTGATCTCGTAGTAAGTTCATTAACTATTGTGAAATTTATTTTTGATGCTGAAACAAGTCCAATTTTATGTCCATCTAAATGCATGCACAAAATCAGATAATATTTTGGTGTTTATCACTTCCCTGGTTTCAAGAAATTGTAAGGAGGTGAATTTATTTTAGAAAGGCGAAGTTACACGGGGATGTGCTCAGCTATTTTCTTATTGCTAGCTCAACTAACGCAATCACGTCGTGGGCCTGTCGATTGATTGTGCACGCGCAATCAGGTATTTAAACGGTATAGAATAGGCGTTGGACACTTTTATGTGAGGATATATAAATTACTAAACATTCCATTATTTTTTCTATATCGCCAAAGTATACCTTTTTTAAAGGATGTCAAAAATATTATGCACTTCGCAACCGTTGAAGAGTCCCAAATTTCTATTTTTGAGTAACTCTTGCAAAGGCATATACTTCCAAATGCGTTTCAACCAACGTAAACACACTAACGCATGCACAAACAGACAAAACAACAAAGACAATTTATTTTATAAATATTTTACTTCAATAAGGAAGTAGAATAAATAACATGAACATATAATGCGATTACATATTAATTCTATGCGCGATGATATAAATACATGTCAATGAAATCGTGTTTAGTAAACATTGCTGGGTGTTGATAATTATGCCCCCAAATTGTCTTTTGTTTTGGTTCACGCTATCATGTTTTTACTAAGAAGCAAGGTATATTAACATTAAAGAGACGGTGGGTCCAAAAAGTTTTGCATCACGACAATATAAGCCGTTATAAATATGATGGTGCATCGGTCTAAGTGCGCCCTTCAGTGGGCGATCGGGGCGAAGGGGGGGGGGGGGAGGGGGAGGGGGAGGGGGGAGGGGAGGGGGGGAGGGGGAGGGGTCTGTCTCATGCCACCTCTTTAATAGTACAGTATAATACAGTGTTATACAGTACAGTTTAACAAGCGAAAGCAGACATTTGAAAACAAGCAATTTAATAATCCCTGTGCTCTGCATATTATACCGATGGTAATAATTGCCCTCGTCAATTTCATATATTTGGCCATCAAAGGGTAAAAAGCCTGGTTACAACTTTTAGTGCTATTGAAATATTCAGTAAAATTATCAGCTGCCTTTTGATGCTCAAAATAACAAATGTACGCATTACATATCTATATCGATACAGCCTTTAATAACGGATTTCTCTGTCATACAAAGAAACCAACTTTAGTGTTTGAGGAGCTCCGCCGCGACGAAAAGCGTCCCACAACTGGTGGCGTCTCTGTGACCTGTAAAATGATTGTGTTGCCATCGTGATCTTTCGTCTGCCACCGCGTGTCCGAAAGCGGGCTGCAGACATTTGGAAACAGCGGTACGATCTGACCTACATCTGGGACACGGAACTGCAAAATGGCAGAGTCCGTCGGGTGGGGGTGAATATCCTGAGGCAATCGTTTCAGTGCAAACTGCACATCGTAATTTGTGTGAGAATATATGGTAAACGCACAGAAGTCTGACTTCTCCACGTTTGGTTCGCAGTCTAAAATCAGTTTATAAAAATCTATCGTGTCTTCCCAGTTTGTCTGACTGACAAAACGTAGAAATCGGATATGCTCCTTCCCATAATGCACCTGTCTTGCACCCCATAAGGGAAAGTCGTCTGTGGTAAAAAAGAAGTCCTGACTATTATGCGGGTATGGGTTTATTCGCCCAGCTCCAACGCTTTCTGAATGGTGCAATATCCACGGATCCGTTTCGAAATGCTTTCTGGAGGCGGTGATTTTTTTGTTCCCAAGAAGTTCGTCTTCATATAAGAACGCTAAAATGGCGAGACTGGGGATCGTCAAACAAGCATCGTGATTTTGATCACTATACAAGGGCTGCTGTCTCTCTGTCACTGTAAATAATCTCAAATCTGTCTCCACCCAATCAAAAATCGGATTGTATAAGTTCAACAAAGTGTCTCCTTTGCCTGGATTGGCTAGAAAATGAACAGTCAGCCTATAAGGATCCGAGGAGGGGTCACGTGAGTCGGTGGTGTCGGAGCCGGCGACGCTGACGTTTTCACTTTCTGATCGGGGTGTATTGCTACTAACTGCAATTAAAAAAATTATATTACTTATATAAATCGTGACGTATAAACGGAATGCATACACAAAAAGTCGGAAAAAAAAAAAAACAAAACAATAAAAGTATACAAAGCCATACCAGCAAATTACAATCTGTGCTGCCCCAAATTTAAAATTGAATATTTGCATATTCTTATTTCAAATTAAAAAAAAATTGATTGCACGCAAAAGGGAGCTGCGTCCTCTATCAAAGCTCTTCTACAGCTGCTGGTATATATATATATATTACGAAATATATGAAAGTTTAATAAATACATTTGTTACAGTTAGAGGAGAACTCTGGACAGAAGTTGGGAGGGTGCAAAGAGGCTAGGTGCACCTCCCACAGATTCTTAGGTACACCCCCCCCCTCCCCCCGACTACAGTATAGCAAGCAAAAATAGATAAATTAAAAGGAAAAAAGAAAACACCAAGCCATTTATTTCGATCCCTATGGGTAAAATACTTGTTTCGTAGAAAATAATTACGCCATTATCAAAACCTGTGCCAAAGGGTCCGTACGTATATGTTTGTAAGAACCGACAGCGAAAAACAAAAGTATGTGTGCTTTTTAATTGTGAGTCAACATATTATGCAATGATTAATGCGCTGTACTTGTAAATTCCACTTGTTTAATTTTGGGTGAGAACCGACGCACCCAAGAGAGCAAATTTAAATGAACCAATGACCCGATTTAATTGGATATAGAAAGTTTAACTGGCGAACAAGAAAACGTCAATTTTCCCCTTGGCCTTACTGAACGCTCGACACTCCTGTGTATTGTTCTTCTCTGGCAAAGTTCAATATTTCCTGATTTAATCAATAACATTAATCACAACGTGGTATGCATGTCAATGTCATTAAAGTCGCATACGGTACATGGCAAATGCAGTGTTATAGTAATATATACCGAGTAAAAGCGATTTTTTTTTTTGGGAGGTGGGGTGTGGGTGGAAAATGGGCAGATTCGCCATTGCACAAGACGTTGGCAGTATGTGATTGTTTGTGTGACTGTATTCTTTTTTGTCTCATCGTTGTCTCTTACTAGAAATTTCCGTCTAAACAAACAAACGCATATTATATTCATGAGCCTTGTGCTTACTGAAATATACAAATTGAACTGGAGCGAAGATTACTTTAAATAAAATCAAATATGACGATTTAAACGTTTGACATCTGTTTGAACAGTGAGGTTGATAGTTTTTCTTTTCAAAACGCGCAGACACAAAAAGAAATATATTAGTTGAAAATGATCCCTCAGCATTTTATCTCGCTATTTATTGCTATAAAAACTAACGCAAATAAATGTCTTTAACGGCAGCAGTAAATGTCAAAAATGAACCGTATAAATATACATTACAATATTACAACATTTTCAGAAAGTTTCTCACGAGAAACAGATTTACTTATTTCAACTATGGTGATAATAATACTTATTAAAACTACGGTCCATCTCTTTTTTAGAATTAACATTTAAGAACACTTTCTATACATGTAGGCAACTAAAAGGGGGGGGGTCTATAATGTACATGTAAGAGGACACAACCCCCACCCCCCAATTCTTATCCCCACCCACTTTTTACAAGAACCGAAGGTAACAAAATTGTCTCTTAACTTTCTTCTTCTGGAGTACCAGAGTCTAATTTGCCAATTTGTTTGACTGATTCATGAGAGAGAGAGAGAGAGAGAGAGAGAGAGAGACAGAGAGAGAGAGATCACATTCCTTATAACGCCATAGCACTGATATACTCCATATATTGTTCTACATATCTTTATACATGTTTAGATACTTCAGTTAAACTGAAATTAAGTTACAGACTTACCTTCACTCCCTGATGACGAATTTGACATGCTCCCTCGCCGAGATCTAAAATGATAAAAGTAGGCGTCTTAACAGTCCAACAGGCAAACAGCAGTGAAGCAGTAACGCTTGAAAATATGAACATTGTAATGCAGATTAGCTATATTTCACTGTAGCTTTACATTTATAGGAGCAGGTGTACTAAATTTGAATGGATTAATATATTAACAAATGAACAAAAATAAAGAACGTATATGATTATCGTGTTTGTAATCTGTCTGTCCTTCCATCCATCCATCAATCCGTCTTTTCCTCTCTCTCTCTCTCTCTCTCTCTCTCTCTCTCTCTCTCTCTCTCAATCTATCCTACACCCTGTGTCTAGTTATTAATGAAATCATAATAACTTCCAATATGCCTATGACTCCAAACTGTCAGAAGAAATATCCAGATTTTATGTTAGAGAATTACGAGTGTAAACTGTAAGATACTTAATATTATCCTATAAAATAACAAAAAAATCTTGACTTCCGTCCCTCAACTTTTTTTTATAATATCAGAACACTGTCCATCCATACTCTCTGGTCACCGGGTCGGCTAGAAGTCTACTGCAAATTTATTGTATCGCCTATACTTTAAATCTGTATACTATTTTAGAGGCAGCTGATATCAGAGGGCTGTCCATCCTCACGTCCTCCAAATTTATTTCTTTTTTCCCTTTTTCTTGTTTTACTTATGTGGGAGGGGAAATCATGTTTGCATAAGTATTAAACCAACGCACGGGCACGAATCTCAAAGCGCTGAGACGCAGAGGTAGTAACAAAGTGAGTACTAGTACATTGAATGACATTACATTAACATGTCATATACACTCAGTGTTGGCGAGACACAACTGTCGACATGAAATATTACATCTCGGTTGACAGTAATACGATTCCAATATTCATTCATAAAACAGTCACGTAACACGAGAGGTAATCCTCGGCTAATGAGAATCTGATACAGTACAATGTACGTGCAGAGAGGATGGGGACATGTATCTGCGGCATCTTTTTCATTAGCACTTTCTATGTTAACATTAGCACTAGGTCGCTGCAACAGATACAAGCATAAACTGACTTGTTAATGAACGGATCCTTTTGTTTTTCTCGGGTTTTTCTTTGAAAAGCACTAAGTATATTAACATCTTATATCCACCCTGTGTTTCAGAGAACATGTGTGAGATAAAACACTGTCACCCGAGCGATATTGTTATCAGCCTGTTCACAATATGAGTTTCCAGTGACAGCTGAGATTCAGGGTGCTTGGATTATGAGGCCTTCAGCGATGATAAAATCCTCACCCACCTGTCTGTCTGTCCGTATGTCTGTCTGTCACTTTAAATACACTCATTCCCCCTTTTTTAATTCCATCTTTCTCACTCTCTCTCTTTATCTCTCATTTTTCTGCTCCTCCATTCCCCCCCTCCTCCCCATCTCTCTCTCTCTCTCTCTCTCTCTCTCTCTCTCTCATACAACCCCCATCAACCCCTTCTGTCTCGCAGCGATTATAACGAGGCGTCTCTCAACAACCAGAATAATATTTGCCGTGAGTGTAGTATCAAGTATCAAAACATTTGCCCAATAATAACCTTATCAAAAATATCAAGCCAGAATTCACACAATACCAAAACAGAGTTGAAGTAGAACGAATAATAGAACCTTGGTTGGACCCTCCTGAACGCCATGCGAACTGAGTTGTCTTCGAGTGGAAATGGAAAGATTCTCCCCAAGTTTATCTCGCTGTTGTTGCAGACAGATGTGAAACTGGTGCTTTTTATGCACATAAACTCCCTCACGGAATGACAGCGTTAATTGGTTCGCACGTCAATGCTTATAAAACAACTCCGCTGCAATTAACTTAGTTTATATTTTGGCTAAGAGTCAATGCGTAAGCTTAAAAATCTTGGCGTTTTTGCAGCCTGTGTCTTTGCGCGCTATTCAAGTCAAAGTCATATACAGTTCTTATAGGATTAAAGGTAAAACACGTAGGTAATCTCTTCGTGTATTTTGATCCGGTTAGAACAAATGCGCTTGGCTGAAGAAAATTGCCTTAAGAAAAAATACCCGAGCCCTGAGGGTGGGGAAGGGTGAAGTCCTTGTCCAATTGAGTAATCAGCTTCTTGCAGAGATTTAGTGGTTTTTATGGCAGCAGTCTATTTTTTCAGCCAGTAGATGTCGGGTACTCCGTACCACGTTGTAAAATGTGGCGTAACTCCTTTTCTTGTTTCGTTGTCAGATGGTTTTACTGGCTACAAGTCAGCTGACCACCAGCTAGATTTTTATTACTTTCGGAACACGCAGCTAAACTGTTCCTTGCGATTTTTATGGCCTTGGCAACTAATAACCGTAATAAAGTCATTCATATAAATATACGTATCCTCTTCTCTAATGCTTTTAGGGAAAATTCTATCCAGAACTTTTTCCTTGAAAACTGATACACGGAAGATGCATCTTAGCAGCCTCTAACACTCAGTCTTTTTGAGGCATGGGTGAATCAAGTTGTCTCCAGTAGGCCTGCTATAATCCTCTTGCTTTTTTCCAAGGCGAAGATCCAATATTCTGGTACATAAATAATATATCTAATCCGAAAAACGGCTGAAATATGTATCAATTCATACTAGATCAACCTCCATGCGAATCCTCTCTCACTGTAATAGTTTACTGGGTCGGTCCTTTCGCCAGTCGGACGGCATATCTTCGTGATCGCGCGCATTCCTTGAACGTCTGAGCGTGACAAAAACTATTAACCCGCACGGGAGAGAATTAAGTCATCAAAGAGGACACGCTCGAAGCGTATCGCGACTTAATGGTAGGTTTGATGAAACTGTTTTTTGTCACTTGTTATTACCTGTCAAAAGGCGGTTGGATTGAAGTGTTTTTTTTGTGTGTGTGTGTGTGTGTGTCAGCAGTTACCCTGTCCTTTTAAGCAGTGACAAATATGACAAACGTCACCATTATTTTGAAAGACACGCCAGGCTCACCAGTACATTCACGACTTACAGTGCTTGTATCATTTTTGTATCAATATTATGTCTCTTTCCGTCTCCAGTTATGAATGTGAAATCATAATAACTTCCAAAATGTCGACCACCATACAGTTTGTGTTTCTAAATGAATTACCCAGACATAATGATAAGGTCTAAAATATAAGGAATTCCTCTCCTGAATAACAATGTAAACTTTTCTATGATATCAAAATGCAGCCGTAATCCGTTGTTCTTCATGTATTTTCAGGGAAACTTTCACATACCCAACGAAAGCGCAGCAAGCTCATAGAATAATCAACGTCTATCCCAATGTCCGAATTCACAAACCGCACCGGGAGTGGCCAGTAAAACAGGGACCCCTCCCCTCTCTCCGTTCACCTTTCTCTCGTGTCGTGACTACTCATACGAAGAGGGATAATCGATGTCCCGCATACCTCGTCCAAGCGCCCCGGGTTCTACTCGAGGGCAAAATCGATCGCAAAATAATTCCCCTATCACACATACTATTAGCAGCCTTTCTGTAGAATTTCTATGGCGGTTGTTGTTTGGATAGGCATGTGAAGGAGAATTGTTGGTATTTGTACAAGGTGCTTCCACAGATCCCTATTTTTCCGACGGTCCTCGTGTTTACCGATGGATAGCTGGTTCTTGTTCAAATATTTACCTCATAGGTAGACGGAATATCAGCCAGGTAGGGCGTGTGGTGCGCGTTCACAATGAACACCTGGCTCCATCAAAGCGACTTAAGCCGAGAACCTCTCGAAGTTACGACTAACCAGGTGATAATCCGAGAAATACATTTTTAATTCCTAATTTAATGTTCTCCGACATGCATTGTGTTCACCAGCTTGATTTGAATTGACATTTAGGAGTGGAAGCATTCGCATTAGGATCGACTCAACCACGGTTTAAGATAAGATAATGTAAACTAATCCCTCAGGTATTGTAACGGCGTGTTAAAATATAAGTTGAAATATTTTGTATGACTTATTTGGCCTTAGTTTTCACACATTCGGTGACGATAAAGCACACTATAGAAACTGAGGTGAACTTCTCTTTTAGCAACTTAGCCTATTGCTTTTCATCCATTCAATAGCAGTAAAGAGGAAGAAAGAAAACGTTTTTCTCGATTTGGCAGTAATTTTACATTGATTTGGGTAAATTGCCGTCCTTGGACGTACAATGAATAGACGTGCACAAAAGGAGATATTCGGTTTCATTGCTTAAATCAGTTTTACCTTCTTTTGTGTACGTGTTATGTGAATAAATCCTAACGCTAAACTGGTGAATATCAGAGGGTAATGTTCATATATTTCTGTTCTCTTTTTCCCCTATTTTCATTATCATTTTTATCATGAAGGAAATTGAGATTATCGACAACAGAAACTCTAAAACTCAAGACCAAAGAAATATCAGATTTGTTTTACTCATTTCTTCACTCATTCACTCACTCACTCACACATCTATTCATTTGTTTAACTGAATGTTTATTCATTCATTTATTTATCCATTTATTTGTTTTTTACTGATTAATATTTTAAAGTTTATTGATTAATGCATGTATTTATTTATTTATTTACTTATAAATACAGATCATGTCTTTCGTGCCGATGCACCATATTGTATGCAGAATGATGTGAAAATGAAAAATGATGCACATACCGTATACTCATACAAAAATCGCTTTTTCTCTATCTCAAGCCATTTTATAATCCTTCTTTTTGATCTTTGCCTTTTCCAGGAAATATAAAAACTCAATGCACTTTGTTCAGCATAGAGGTACTAGAAATAAATCGGTGTTATCCATAGTGCATCAATCACTGGGTTGTTTGCAGATCTTTGCAGACGATAACTGTTATCGCTGAGTAAATAGGGGGAGTTTTAATTTAGAAGACCGTCTACGGGTAGCTGAAGTCTTGTCTACATCACGTAAATGGACAGAGGAGAGAGAGAGAGAGAGAGAGAGAGAGAGAGAGAGAGAGAGTCCAAAATGGCGTTCACGTCAAGTAAAAGGCTACGAGTACTTTATTAAAACACAGTGGAAATTGTTCACTCTTTAACATTAAGCAAAGCGTGATAAATCCTTTTTTATAACTTGCATTACAAAAGAAAAAAATGCAAAAAATGTGGCGTTTTGAAACTCATTCTCCACAGCATCACCGAGATAAATCTCACTAATATACAGGGGAAACAGTTATTTCCCGCTTTTTGATCACTAGCAAAGCTCAGCTGAGCTCTATATAATGGAACATTTTAACAACATCCTTCGCTCAATCAATTCTAAATGCGCAAGACAAAAACTCCTTCAAAGCCCGCCATATGTTATGGTTCCGCAACCGTGAATCTTAGCTACAAAAATAATTGCCCAGTTTACACTACAACTCATCTTTGTCTGCTCCAGGTTTACACGGTGGTTTTGATAGTAATTATCAATTCAATTTCAATTCAATTTATTTCTGTACTGGTACATAGATTGTCATGACCTTTTACAATATGATATACTAATGACGATACAATACAGTTAGTGCATTACCATCTTTATATAATGGACATATGTATCAGTAAAATTACTCATAAAATATTCTATCTAAGCAATGCGATAAACCTTGGTGTGATTTTAAATTTACCATAAACATACTATATTATTTCAGTAGTACTCATCACGCGTACACTTTTGCAGGTGTAAATTGGGTAGATTTCATCATTTTCTATATCGATCGTCTGCTCGAGCGTTAATTGCTACCGATTGAAATAGAAGCCCGCTTACACTTACGGTCGAACATTAAAAGGATCTGTTTCATGTGAATCTGACAGATGGGAGAGACTGAATGATTAATTTACAACGAGGCTGCTAATTTAATTTAACTCTGAGGGAAAAAATAGCTGATCACTTTTACGAAATAATTAGCCTCTTCCTCTTTCTAGGCTCCTTATAAAATAGGCGACATATTTTATTTCAGTGGGATAATTTAGATTTATCTTGGATCATAAATGTGGACGAAATATTCGATCTTATTATTTGGACCAATTTTCAGACTAAAAAATCTTTCGTGATACAGATCCTAGGCGAGTTAAAAAGAGCGCCGCTACGAAAACTTCCTAAATATTTTAACGGCAGTTTACCGTCACTGCGTCAGGCCTGCACAAACTTCCAGCGGGTCATGACAAACGCCGCCTAAACCCCCTTGATCCTCTCGATCTTATTGCCAAGTATTCCGCCGTATTTGATCCAAACATTTTCCAATTCCCAGCCAACAATGGGTAAAACAGAACAATATTTGATGTGGGGATTTGGTGCGACTGCGGGACGCACCATTAGGATCGTCTGAGATAAGAAATTGATACAGTGCCTTGAAGACTTATGATAAACGCTACGGTTTAATTCTTAGCCGATTAATCTGTCATGGCGATATAATTAAACAATTACAAATTACATAAACAAAAGAGGTCATTTATTAGTAAAACAATCATGGTCATTTGTTACGGTTAAGTACTACTTAATGAGGTCATTAGTCATAAAATATGAATTGGCCATCTTCAAAAATAGAAATGCACACGTACACTATACAAAAAAAGCTTTCAGGGTCCCAGTTAAAAAAAAATAAGGCAAAACAAAAGGTTTTTTGTTCTTATCCATGTGTTGGCAAATTTAAGGGTACTTTTCAAAGTATGATATGGAATTTGAACATAAAGAGAGCAGAAAATTTTCCTTTTTTTCGCTTGTCATAAGTGCTACCGTAGCGTTCCAAGGGCACAACTTCAGCGTGCTACTTGTCTCCCCCCACCCCTCCCCACAAGCTTAGGGGTTCCCAACCCCATTTCTCTCTCCCCTCTAAATAAAACAACGAGAGAGGCGAGGTGTAAGTAAGCAATTTTCACCCCCGTGACTCACATATTAAAGTTAATTTTACAAAAATACTCTAGTCTACAGCTTGTTATTTGCTTTGCTTGGCTTGAAAAATTATTGTACCCAGCTCCCTCCTCCTTCTCAGTAAATTCATAGATGCGCCAGAAAGGGTTTGGCAGTTACCCTGAAGACGGCGCCACTGTTTTTTCTTTCTTTCTTTCTTCCTTTCTTTTTTATACATCTTAATCGCTCTCAGATACTCTAACAGGGGCGTAATATCAGTGCCTGCCACGGCCGGTATTTTTCGTAAACGCGCCTCCGGAGTTCAAAAAGCCACCAATTACTAAAATGTTACTGTTGCTCGAGCAACAATAAGACCGAAGAAACCAATGGTACGCCTGTCCTGGCTAAGGGATTATCATCGCCGTGATTAGACCGTATTAGCCGCCCCATGTCCCCTGGCCCTTTTTAGGGTTAACGACCGAGAAATCTGGATCAATAAAACCCAATGTAAAACTCATTCAACTTTCTTGGGTAAATCCCAGGTCTTTCTTCAAACTTAAATGGGATATTTATCTCCCCAGCTGACTCTGCTGCAGGGTTCGTTTGGTGTTATGTCCCTGTACTGGGCCTGTATTGGTGGTGGATACAATATTCAGGGGGGGCAAACCTGGAAAAACACGTCCTTCCAACATTTTGCCCAGAGAGAGAGAGAGAGAGAGAGAGAGAGAGAGAGAGAGAGAGAGAGAGGGGGGGAGGTTTACCTTGTAGTTCATAAGATGCAAATTAATCAGTGGAACCGAGGAGTCAAATACGATATGAAACAGATTGCAACTGCAAAGCACCCAAACTGCACCCTGGGGATGAGACTTAAGCATAATCTTTTCAGAAAAGTCATTTTTGTGCAGGCTATTTTAATATTGAGACTGTCAAACACAGGGTGAATATCTGATTATGTTGGGCTGAAATACCTACTGAGCATTTGGGAGCTTACGGCAATTAAGCGAAAAAAACTTTAAGCAATTATTTTAATAAGGATAAGCAGTCCATTCAGTGCTTAAGTCGATGGTGAAGGGAATGGGAAAGGGGGTGCAGAATAACACACGGTATAATTTTTTATAAAATTTAAAAATTAATGCACACGTTTTGAAAGCTTCAAATAGTAAATTTCAACAGATGCTAATCAAATCAGAGCTGTGGGTCAAACTTCCAGTTCAAAGTGACGTGATCAACAGTAACATGGAATTTTCACTGTAGCGCGGGACATTTAATGACATAAATCAATTTCCTTCTCTCGGTCAGTGAAATTATGGGCCATATTTTAGAGCGTTCGTTTGAAACTGGGCCCCCTCCAATTGTTAGTTGAGGGCTCCTAGATTTCAGCAAGTAGATTCAGTTGTATGTAGATTTATATCACGACTTATGTTGAGGTCACTGCGTGTTTCTTTTTATCTCCTCTACGACACCGTTGTTGAACATAATTCCTGATTAAATCTACACTCATGTCATTTAAACGAAAAAAAAGATTAGTTTTCCAATAAGCAAATTGATAAATAAACAACCAAGCAGTCTAAATGTGCTACATACTTGTGTCAGATAACAAAAATGAAAGAAACAAAGTTCAAAACAGTTCAAACCAATGCACACAAAAGAGAAGACCCTGCAATATGATTTTAATCAGCTAGTTGTAACTCATGGACGTCAGCCACATTATCCTCGGCTTAATTAGGTTTTTACTGAGTCTCTACTAATACCATAGTTCACGGGTATTTGCTCACGCGAGGATTTAACATTCCAAATCTTTTTAGACTCATTATTTTGGCTTTACGTATCGAAAAAAGAGTCATGCCTAGACGTCTATTTAAGCTCTTTTGTAGCTCATTATTTCGTTCTAATTTGGAAAGGCAAACAGAGTCGATCCCTTCGTGGTAATATTATTTCACCGAAGTGCATTTCTGGTCATAATTTATAAAATTCTTTGGTTCTAGCCTGTATTGTAAAAGTGGCTGTGCAATAAAACTTAATCCCTATCTTTCTCTCACTCTCTCGCTCTCTCTCCCTGTGTGTGTGTGTGTGTGTGTGTGCGTGTGTGTGTGCGTGTTTATGTATGTGCTCCTGATTGAGCGGCTGTGCGTGTGCGAATGTGTGAGTGTCCGTTGAGGAATGTGAGTGTACTATGCCCGAGGGCACGTGCATTTATGCACGCGTTCACGTGTGTCTGTGCCTTTGTCTCTAACTGTGACTCTACTATAAACACGAAATGCGATTACCTGTAATCCCAAAAAGGGAATCCATTTTGATCCTTTGACTGGCGTCTCTTCTTGCCATATGTCCTCTTCAGAAACATCACGGCGTCCATGTTGGTTGCCTTGTGTACCAGTCGACGTTAAACCAAGTTAGTTCCTTCGTAATATGTTTGCGCAGTGTTTACGTGCTCCAAGAGACGCTCGCAGTGCTCTGACCGATGAACTACATGTTTCCCTGCAAATTATAAATGAGCACTGTTATACATGTAGATCTCAAGCCCTTTGACAGATCGTGGCCTTCTTATGCACTTGCAAAACTCTCTCTCTCTCACACACACACACACACACACACACCTTTATACCTACCCACCTAGGCGTTTGCACTACGAAATATGCACGCGGTACCCTTACTTATTACCATTCTTATCGTCACACTGATTTGTGACGTCATTTTTGAAATCCCGCAATCCAATTATATACTGGCAGTTGGTATTTATGGGAAGATATCCCACTCCTACAGTCCACAATCCCAGTAAGCTGACTAATCACCTTTCCGTGAATTGAAATAATTTCTATTCCTGAGAGCGATCGATCATTTGGTTTAGTGAACGAGGATGAATTCACGCACGGTCCATTTTGACCGTCACCGTTCGATCTACTAATACATTTGTAACGCAATCCCATTTATTTTAGCTACAGCATCTGGATAGTAATCAAGTTGGTGGGCACAAGGCAGGTAATGCATTTTGACAGACATTACTTACCTAGCTTACTAACGGTTAGATTACTGTCATTTATACGTCACTGAGCTCGAATAAAGATCGGTCCCTGAAGGCCTAGTGTGGACGCGAACTTTGATATCACTTCGCGAGGCGCCGTTTGTCGTTCATGGCTTATGGTGCCAATTTTCTGGTTATAAATCACGTCATAAAGGCTCAAAGAATATCCCCGCTGTGGTGATGCCATAGAGTATCTCTACGATAAGCTGTGTGGCTGCCATATAGACCGGGAAACATGCATACTTGACTGCTGATGTAAAAACGAAGAGTAATATATTGCTGAAACAGCGAGCCGATATGCGTACCTGCCTCGGCGGGTTTCCCAGAATACGGCTATCTGTTACTGAAGAGGCGTATACACGTATAGCAGAGGAGGAACAGCTGCGTTATAAGGATGCTTTCCGGGTAACCTTCGAACAGTATTGAACGCTGATTGAAATCTGATTGTTCTTGTTGTTAATGAAATGGTATGGGATTTAGCACGTGTTTTTTTCTATTCTCTGTTCTTTTGATAAGGAGGTGATGGTGTTGATATTATTAGTCACACAGGAAATATCTCGCGTATTCATAGCTCAGTCGTTTAGGTATACATTTGCTTTTTTCCCGGCCATGCAGCTAGAGAGTCCATTTAATTAGGAGAAATTGGATCATCAATAATGAACTGTAGCAGCTATAAATCATCTGTACTAAGGTGGAGACCCGTATGCAGAGGTTTGGGGGGGGGGGGGGTCAGAAGTTCGAAAGCACGACATTTTGGCTGAAAAAGGTTCTTTCTGAAAGAAAATTCAATCTGGGCTCTTTTTTCTAAGTTAGGCAAACTAAAAAGGTCCACTTTTTCAGCAAAAAAAGTATCCCCATTTTGAAAATTGCTGACTTCAGGCGTAACTTGCACTGCCAATTAGAAATACTGGCTTTAATTTGTTAACATTCTATTTTATATACTGAAGTGCTTGTAGATTATTTGTTATTTACAAGACAGGCAAATAATGTATTGCCTCTTTTTAACATACGCTTTTTTGCTGTAATATCTCAATCATAAAAATGAAATGATATAAAACCTGCTTTGAAGATCTTCGGGGTTTAACAGCTACTTGTAATCTAAATCTAGGGCAAAACCGATTATCTACCGTCTGGAGCAACATATTCATCTTTTCCTTCGACCACCTACCATTTTAAATGCTTTCGTGTAATTTGCTTTTAGCCTTTGACTTGCCAATGTACTGATAGAATGGCGATTGACCTTTAATCTCTGAGTGAGTATACGGTCATCAAAATCGTCTCAGTGACCATGGAACATTACAAGTACCGGGTACTGCTTAATTTGTTATTTCGCAGTAGACCTCCCTTATCAAGTTTTCTATGTAAACAGGAAGAAAACGACGTCGCTTTAGCTGCCATATTTTTGCTTTATTATATGTATGGTATTCTCGTCCGATAAAGCTCGTAGAAATTTCCTCTCGAATCATTCAATCCCGAACTACATTAGTAAATGAATGGTGATGACAAAATGAAAACATCCAGCGAAAAGTAGTTTAATTGAACACCTAATAACTGTACAGGTACAACATGAACATAATAGTGGGTTTTTAGCCGTGCTCCTTTTCCTGTCGGAAGCCTATACGTCTGACATCGTAGTGTTTGATTTATTTTAAAACAGCAAATAATAGTCAACATTCGAATCTGGATGCAGTTTGGTTTTCGAATTGTGAATTATGATGAAAATGCAGGATGAAAACTCACCTTTATCGTCTCTCATACAACATCAAATCGTTCGCTTAACTCAACATAAAATGTCTAGGTCTACAATACAATATATTCCCACGTCGTAGTTCGTGTAGATTAGCACAAGTGAAAAGTGCCCCCTGTTTTCAGCGTCTCCCTAATCGAATGTGTTTGTATTGTGATTTGCTTACTTTATTAACCGAAATGTCAAGATCTGTATTTGGCTACCGCCATGATAACTCAGGTGTTGTCAAACACGACAGTCACTAATGGCAGGCGATGGGTCTCGATGACGTCATCACTTAGAGCAAAGATTGGTTGAAATGAACGCAATGCTGGGTCCTGGCTGCTGATAAGCGTGCGCGCGCGTGTGTTTTGGGGCAGGGGCGCAAAGCTAGAAAATCGATTGATTCGAGGCAATTATAAAACAGCCAACTAGTTTTTCCCGTTGTACATGTGCATATACCTTTTTGAGGGGGAAGAGAAAAGAGGAAGGAGACAATTCCGAAGCTAATATTAGGGAAAGAGGGCAGATGCTCGGCGTGGCCCTCACTGAATTTTCTTTTGAAGAATCGTGACTCCAAGCATTTTTATCTCGCTTATTGATAACATTAACCACTCAATCTTATTCAAATCCATATTTCATGCAACAGTAAAAAAACGAATTCATCAGTATATACGTAGGGTATGATTCATGTGTCAATTCGTCGGATTCGTGGATCCGTGTCCAGTGTGTCCTCACGTTTGAGTCAGCCTATTCGGCCTATATAAAAATTGTAACTCCCAAACAAACACAGCGTTCTTACATTATAACCTTGAGACCTAGGGTCTGATTCACATACACACACGAGCACGCGCGCAGGCGAGTTCTCAAATCGGCCTAAAAGCTCTAAAGATTTAAGTTTACGTTTTACAAAATGAACCAGCAGTAGTTTAATTAAATTAAATGTTACGTATTTTTTACAGCAAATAAGACATAACTGATGCATCAAGCGAATTTAAGTTTATTCAAATGGACTACCGTGACTTTGTCTTGAACTGAAGTAAGCCAAACCATTGCTTTTAAAGTTTAGACCACTTTTCGGGCTAAAGTTCTTCTGTGGAACCGAGCCAAGGCAGAATGACCCCACTAACGTTCACCGCCTGACTGTATGTGACGCTACTCAAAACTCCACCAGCTTTTAATTAACTGCTGCTAATTTAGTGTAGATATTGATTACATATAATACTCATTTCAGTATGATTTACTATTACACAATTATAGCTAGTACGTCAACGTGGCGAAAGACATACTAATTAGCCATCGACGTATGCCCTTGCCGCTATTTGTTCTGACCGCGTTCCAATTAACTCTGTCAGCTTTTCACGTTTAATTAGATTGAATGGGATCGATTTTGTGAATATTTCAGGAACGTGGTCGCCCAGTACTGTTGTTCAGTGTAGCTGGACAGAAATGGAATAGTTTGAAACATTAAGTCAAAAGATTTGAAGGCCTGTATGACAGATACAACTTCTTTTTATTCACATTTTTGTACAGTCAACTATACTTTTGCGTTAGGTTTTACAAATTTGTCGAAGACAATTAACATACAGTGATTCAAATTATACATTTTTAAGGGCAGATTGAATCCTAGGTTACGTTTGCTATATGCCATTCGTACATGTATGCCAGTATGGTACCCTTATTCTACATGTATGAGTACCAGTACATTTCTTTTCGTGTGACGTCCGAGTGGAGGCATGCGGTGGCCGTGAGAAATTGTACGGATTCCCTCCGGGGCCTTTACGAATTAATCAAACTTTAACTTTTGACATATTTGTTTTCAAATCACGAGCTAGTAGGCAAAAGCAGTATCGTAGCTTGCGTAGCACAGTTCCCGTTCGGGCTTTGTTCTTCGGACTTGCGGTGATCTTGGACTTGCGGAAGGGTTGGATCTGTTGTAGGCATTTCCCCACTTTTTAGTATTAAGAGGAAAATAATAGTGATTCACTGAAGATGTTTAAAGTTTACTTTTATTCACTGTTGTGAAATTGAAGCCTATCTTATACCGGCCGCGCTGGAGCTGAATAACTTGTAGGATTGCACCGAAAACGTATCAATCTTAAAGGAAGCCGTACGGAGGTTGTACGGCAACTGCACTGGGCCTGAAAAGGGCTCTGATCTCTTTCACATTGACAAACCGATTATCTCCGACCTAACCTGAAGGTCAGAGAAAAATGGCACGGCACCCAAACATTAAGAATTTAACATACACACCGTAACCCTTTGATTCTTACACTGTAAAAGAAAAAAAAATGAAATATCGTATACGATTTCAACATACAGCACTCAGGGCAAATGTCACCTATGCTTTTGCAGGGAATATCAAATAAGAGGCGATGGTTGATATTTTTAATTTTTTTAAAAAAGATTGCCGTTTGTAATAAATTTTCTTGTAGACATTTACCTGTAGGAGACACAGAATTTCGACTGCCCCGGCAATGGCCAGTTTTGGCGGGTTCTGTGCGTTAGGGTTTTTCTATATTCTATATTCGCTTAGAATAATGCGGCAAGAAACATGCTGTGTTATGTGATAATGTTGCCACATCCAAAATCCATCGGGGCGAATTCGCCATTTCGGGCTCATACTGAAACATCAGCGTACAGTTTTTTTTTTTTTTTTTTTTTTTTTTTTTTTTTTTTGTAAAAACTGTTATTGCTTTCAAATGGATCTCCCTCAACACCGCCGTTTTGACGCTTATTTAATCGCAAAAGGGAGTTCCAAAAATCTGGTGCTGGGGAATCTTCTTGAAGGGTTACTTCTAGTTTTATCAGTTAAGAATCAAAATAATACATTTTTAAATGAGACATCCCAGGAAAAAACAAACATAAATAAATGAAGAGATAAATAGAAATGTAAAACCAACCGCGGCACCAGCTCGTAGTTCACGCCTTAGTCATTTATCATGTCAGTTCCAATGGGCATATCGTACTTGCAGAGTTACGTAGAAAACTACGATTACTAACTCACCCTAGTTAACAATGACGATGTCGACGATAACCGCTTCGCCACCGTATGTGCTCAAGCACGTGCGTTGTTGAATAAAGCAACATAACAGAAAAGAAAGGTAATGCTTTAGAATTTTTATTTTATTGCGTTAATGTAAAGATAAACATTCCGCATATAAGCAAAGTGAAAACGTTATTTTGCCAATACAAATACATGTTTTTAACACGTATCAAAACCACTTACCACCGACAGCTATATTTCAGCATCACGAAGAATATATATTATGATACATTTTTACTATACTATACTACTTTTGGGACTGTCATTATTTCCAATGCATAACATATATAATAAAGAAATTCAGGTTTAGTGAGCATAACTCGGACAAAACAACTCAAATTTTGTGCTGTGTTTTTCAGATTCTTACTCATTCCAACAAGTTATTACTCCGTCAACTTAAACAGTGGCAAACCCTGTAAATATCGCGTGGATATCTGCACGTGGCCACACGTTTTCAGAAAAGTGCGCATAATTAGTCATTTTGTGGATATCTACACATAGTGAACAATGAATCTATAGATGGTAGCTATAGCCGTCTACTCATTCCTTGTCCAATGAAGATATTTGACTTATAATGTTAACCGACGTTAAGTATCAATACGATGATACTTGCAAGACAATTGCAGACCACCTGAAAGTCAAGCCTTGGTCTTGATCTTAGATTGGGTCTTGGTTTCTGCAGAAGTCTTGGTCTTGGCATTAGATTCATACTTCTTATCTAACGGAAGCATGTTGTAAATTCGATCACAAACCGCGGTGACATTTTTCTCGCCAAAAATAGGCATCCCGTGTGATTTGTAATATGTCAACAACCGGTCCACTTCCTCGTAATGTCTCTTTTGGGCTGCCATACATTCGGGATGCCAAGTCCAGTCCATCCGTTCATAATTAAACATGTCTCTTTGAATGGCGCTCCTATTGAAAAATCTACAGTGTGACGGACACATATCAAACCCACCGGAATAGCAAATTCCCATCAAAAGAGCTTGAGGGTAGTAAGTTTCCATGTTGTACGGTGTTTTGAGCAGTTCTTGTGGGGGTGTTGAATGGTATTTCCAGTGTATCGAGGTTCTGACAATAGGCTTGCGTTCTTCAGCTGTGAAGTTTTCTTTGTAGGTTTGGAATGGTACTCTCCCGGGGAGTTTGCCTTTGAAGTTCCAGTTTGGAAGTGGTTGAAGGTGAAAGGCGTACTCATTGCGATGAAGCGTGTAAATGCACTGACACATTATGCTGAATTGTGAATAACGACCATGGACTGCTAATTCTTTGTAGATAGCATCAAAAGATTTATTATGTAATCGCTCTAGGTAATGGCGGCAATTAATAATATGTTTCACTTTCATGACAACGGGGAAGTATGACATGCATCTCATGACCTCTCCAGTTCTGAATAATTTGGAATGCTTCATTGTTAGCACTTCCCAATCTACCGAAAAAAAATTACCGACGACTCCGACCACGACGGGTTTGCCGTCTCGAAAAAGGTCTCCCGGCGTAACGACCGTAACGAACAGAGCGTCTGTATCCACATAGCCAACGTACTCGGCCTTGGTGTAGTTTTCGGGATAAAACATCGACCACTGCTTTCGGTTCGATCCTTTATTGATGTTAATATCTGGGTTAGGATCTTCAAAGAAAACTTTCGGATATGGCGGTCTGTCTCTAATTGCTTTTTCCAACGCATGATCTTCTTTTGATTCGTTGTCTAAGATAACCATCACACGTAATTGGGGCGGCCAGAATAAAACCACGCTGGGGCTGAATATCTTCTCGTAAAGAGGATAAGTTTTGTGGAACATGCGGAGGAATATTTCAAGCGTCGGGACCGAGTCCCATGGTGATTTGTCAATCGCGTTTTTAAACACAAATTTTGTGACGTGGTCACGGATTGGCTCCTTCCAAAACAGCATTGCCATCAACCAGACGACAGCGAGTCCAATCACAGTGGCACTGAGAAATCGAGATTTCATGGTTATCATGCAGTAATTCTCCTTTGTATTATAGTTCTTTGACCAACAGACCATGTTTTAATGACGGAAATTTGCGTGGAAAAAAGACTGGAGTATCACAGCCAACGTTTCGACAAATATTCCAAGATGACTGTTGCT